GAGGCGGCACCCAAATCTCTGTAAATCTGTTGCGCAACGCAGGCGACAGCTCCTTCTTTCCGAAATCACCACCGGGATTCATGGTGGCGAAGAACTGGAACCCATCAGCGGCCCGAACGTGCGAGTCGTCGGTGCCCTTCTCAGCCAGAAGCAGTGTCCGTCCTGGTTCAAGCACGGAATTGAGTCTCTCAAGAACCGAATCATCTGCGAGGGATATTTCGTCGAGGAGGAAAAAATGGGCATTCTTCATCGCCTGGACAAGACTACCATCGGACCATTCGAACAGAGCTTTGCATCTGACCTCGCTGGTGTGAATAGACTGCTTGAGAGCTTCTGGGATTCGGCTCAAGTCATCTGACGAGAGACTGTGATAACGTGCCACCAACTCATCCATGCTGCCTTCCAAAGGTTGGTCAACTTGTTGAAGAGCATCTTCAAGGCTGTGCTTGAGGCCTTCGACAATCGCTCCGCGGTTCCGCACTGGTCTTTGCGACCCGATGAGGTCACCAGTCTCTGTGTTCTGGTGTGCATTGACAATGTGCAATTGCTTGCCAACGGCCTCGGCAAGCAGCTGGCAGATCGTCGTCTTGCCACAACCAGTCTCACCGACAAGTAGCACAGGCTCATCGTTCTGCAGGGCCTGTGATACGAGAACATATAACCGCTTCATAGCATTTGTCCACACGACGCCTTGGTTGTTCTTTTCCATCAGGCTGGAGTGTCTCATGGCCCTGGAGAACTTCTCATCAAAGAGCTGATCTGGGTTGATCTTCACCTTGAAAATCGTCTCAATAACCTCTTTGACCGCGACTCGTTCTTCCTCATCCCTCACGCGCTCGGCAAGAAGCATGAAACCATTGTTTGCGATGTCTTCACGGGATTCAGCATCGCGGAGTGCCCATCTGAACAGATCTCGCAGTGTCGCAAAGCTATCTTTCTGCTCGAACACCCTGCTGGTCTGTCTCAGGCGAGACAGCTCCTTGTACACAGACACGATTCTTCTGCAGTCAGACGGCGCCGTATTGATGCTTCGCTTTTGCAGGATGTATTCTAACTCGTCTTCCGGAATGTCGTCGTAGTGTAGCTCCAGGAATCGATTTCTAAACGCTCTCGAGAGGACCTTGCGCCCCCCGTACAGACCTGGAGGGTTTTGCGTTGCGAAAAGCATGAAATTTTCATGCGGTCGCACGATCTCTTGCGTTTCTGGAATGAGAAGTTCTCGATTGTCATCCAGGAGACGATTGAGGGCCTCGAGAATATCGGTCGGCGCTAAGTTGAGTTCGTCGAGAACAATCCAGTGACCCTGGCGCATCGCTTGGACAAGTAGGCCCTCTTGGAACTTGAGCTTGCCATCAGAACCAGAGATATATGTGCCCAGATATTCTTGGAGGTCTGTGTGCTCGTGGTTGTTGATACGCACAAACTTGTTGCCGCTGTACTCGGCGAGATACTCGATCATGCTTGTCTTTCCGGCCGAGGTTGGTCCCTGGATGAGGATGGGAAACCGCCTTGTTGATGTAGCTCGGACCAGATTAAGCAAGTTCCGCTCCACATAGGGTGTCCTGATGTAGTCGGTTCGTTCTTTCGGAGGCTGTGCCCCCTTCAATAGCCAGTAGACTCGATTGTCGTCCTTGTCCGTGAACTTGACATACTCGCGTCCGTCGCTTGGATATTTGGGCGGCTTTGAAAGAAGACGACTGGGGTCCTTGCCGAACAAATACTCAGTGATCAGTGGCATCACCAACTTCTCTGAGTCTCGACTTAACAGCGTCAAGAAACCCATGCAAAATCCTTCATAGAGCGATCTCTCAAGACCGTAGAAAGATGTAACGTCATTGACATAGGTGAGTACCCGTGTCAAGGTACGTAAGCTGAAGTGAGGCACTTCATTCGCTCCATCAACGAGTGCTTTTGCCTCAGCAAGCTCTTTGATGCGCAAATAGAGGTGAGCGACTTTGTCAGCCGCCTGATCGACACGAGAATTATGTCCACTCAAGTACGATTTGATGATGACGACAAGGTCCTTGAGGTCCTTGTCCGGGCTTGCCACGTAAAGCTCTGTGAACCTTGACCGCAATCCGAGTGGTAAATCCCTTTTGCCGACATCTGTTGCCGGGTTCATCGCTCCAAAGATTCTGAAGTTTGGATGAGCTTCTATTCTCTCGATCTCACCTGTTTCCGAGAGCAAGATCGAGGGTATAGCATCTGGTCCCGACTGGAGCAAGTCTGCGATGCTCTCCAGTGTGTCTGGAGATGCCAAGTTGATCTCATCCAAGAGTACCCAGTCACCATTCCTGACAGCCTTGACGATGTTGCCCTCGACGAAGGCGAAAGCAAAGCCTCCAGAGGCCCCTGATAATTGGATCTCAAATTGCTCCAGGTTCTTCGAAAATTTTTCCCACCGAGGTCTGAGCTCCAATAGGGACTGTAATGACGACTCTGTCTTTCGTCTCTTTGCTGGCTGGTCATTCTCTCTCGCTTGCTCGCGGGTCTGCTCTTCGATAATCTTCTTTTTGAGGATATCATCAAAGATCTGCGGAGCTTGTTTCCAGAGCTTTGCAACATTCGTCCATCTTCCCTTTGCGATGTTCTTGCCGATACTGTCGAGATATTTCTGGTTCTTTTGCTGGGATATGCCGGTTGATGCAAACAGATCTTCAAAATCCTCCTTCAACGGTACGGCGAGATTGCGTACATTGATGGGCTTGAAGCCTCCTAGGAGGTCTCCGGCCTCGCTCTGCTGAGACAAATTCACGGCGATCAATTTGTGGCCCAGGCTTTCTGAAAGCTGCTGTACCACAGTGGTCTTTCCGATACCAGTCTCTCCAACAAGCAAGACCGGCTCCTTGAGGTCGACAGCTACAGCGATTTGTTCCAACAATCTCCTCGCATGTGTCGTCGGTGCAAACGGTCGCCTCGACTTTGCCACGCGGTTCAGCCGTTTTGCCTTGTGCAGCCTCGACCGCCCAACCGTCAAATGTGTCTCGCTTTCCTCTAATTTCGGGATGTGCATGGTAAGATGATGCTCCACGCGCTGACTTGACCTCCCCATCATCTCTCCAATGTGAAGGATAAGCTTATCCCGCACTCGGGAATCTTTAATGCCGCTTGCGAAACAGTCGATGGCCTCCATGAACATCCCATCATATGTCGTCTCGGTCATGGGCTCGCTTCCCGTTTGTGCTCCTGTGGCCGCAATGATCCTCTCCAGGCGCCGGCACCACTTGAAGAGATCTCTTGAGCTGATTGGGCGTTCTGATGCCGACGACGTGCCAGATACCAGCGCTGGACCACTCAGGAGGAGACAAAATCGCTCAAAGACCTTGAGTATTGGATCTGAAACGAACTTATGCAACAGAGGATACTTTTCGCGGATCACTGCTTGGAGTTCCTCCTGAAGCATGCTTTCCACCGGTAACAATTGCCAGAATCGCAGTCCAAGCAGGGAGGGAATGTTCTCCTGGCCATTCATGCCTCGTAAGGTCCTCACAGTTGCAAAGATCCGGAAGCTGCTGGGTGCTTGTATCCTCTCGCCGCGGTTCGGTATTAGCAGCTCTCCTCGTTCAATCAGGGGTAGAAGAGTGCTCATGACCTCGGTAGGTGCACGGTCGAGATCTTCTATGAGCACCCACCGCCCCTCCCTGACAGCTGTCGTTAGGATGCCTGGTCGCCACTCGAAAGAGCCTGGCTTTGTGCCAGTGGTGTAGAGGCCAATGAGCATCTTGGCATCAGTTTGCTCGTTGAGATGCAGAGTGACAAGGCTAGAGTCCATACGAAGCTCTCGGGCTAACTCGAGAACCAAGGCTGTCTTGCCGGCGCCAGATAGTCCGTGGAGAAGGACGGGCCCCGGCTGCTGCAACAGCTTTGCAAGATGTTCCAAGTTGCGGAGAGTCGTGGGCGTGGCAACGAGGGATGAGGGAGTACTCGGCGCACCATGGGGCCGTGGCAGGACTGTGTTTCCATAGTTGACCACGAGGGTGGTGAGATTCTGTGGTGGTATCTGAACGAAAGATGTTGCGAGTGTTTGTTCCCGGGCTGCAAGGATTTGTTGATGTATCTCCTCCACACGAGTGTGTTCAAACAGCGACAAAAAGGCATAATCTATGAGCTTTCCGTCGAAGTTTCCGGCCAGAGGCTCATCTCCTGGAATGTGTTCCTGCACCAGAGACCCCAGCTTGAAGTCGGACGCACTCAGGAGGAGACAAAAGATTCGTATTGAAAGGTATCTGACAGGACCGGATCGATACGAAAAGAGATCTTGCATTTGAGAAGGCGATACCAAACTTGCATATGTCTTCCTATCGAAATTGAGAAGTCTCCATACTGCCAGCAGTCTCTGGATGAGAGCATCGCCACTCAAAGTCTGCGAGGCATCCACAAGATTGATGCGCGGAGTGAGGTGCGCCTCTGAAGATGATCGAGGCTCAACGGCTAGGTTTCTGAGATAATCATCCAAAAAAGTCGAGAGCTGCGGTGCAAAAGGAAGGATCCTAGCAAATGCTGCCAAGATGCTGTTGTTGCAGCTGCCACGTTGTGTGCTGAGGATCCAACGAGCGCAAATGTCTGTGAAGACTGGCTCAAAATGGGCGTAGAGACGGCCTGTAAGTTGAGGTATGAGTGCCGCCTGTGATATGGCATCCAGAAAATTCGTCGGGTTCTGTTTGCGGATGATGTGAAGCAACTCGGGTGGTAAGCATGCCACCGCGGTCGCATCGCCCAGCAGAGATGCCCTCTGTGAGCTCACATCGAAATTCGCCATGGTCGGCGAGATCTCGTGAATTTTGTTTTGGAAATAGTTTGGGAAGTTCGCAGTCCTGATCAACGACTTTTTTTTCTGCCGTCCTAAAGTCGCAGCGGCAGGGATCTAAGCTATGATCCCTGTCCCTGCAGACTTCTAAAACGGAAAGCGGATTTTCCAGGCGACCGGGGCGGCAGAGCATTGGCCAGGGACGACCTCGAGCTTAGAAAAAGTTCTGGAGCCCGTCAACGACCGCGTGAGAGACGAGCTCTGGTAGGCCCTCACGCGATACATACACCTTCAATATCCCTTCGAGAACCCTCCGAAGACAACTACAACCATGTCGCTCTCCTCCAGATATGCGGCGCAATGCTGCGCCCGCCAAATTCGATCCGCAACCTCCCTCCGAACCACGGGTGCGCTCGCCCAGCAGAGGATAGCAAGGCGATACCAGTCGACCGAGGCTGCCGCCGCACCTACAAATCCCAAGATTGCCGGCATTGTGGAGCAAATCAGCCAATTGACGCTGCTGGAGACTGCGGACCTGGTGTCAAGCCTCAAGGTGGGAGGGAACATATGCATCCGACGGAGTGGCGTCAAAGAGCTAATTGGGTTTCTCGACAGTCCCGACTGAACATCCCAGACATGCCCATCGGTGGGTTCGCTGCCGCTGCAGCCCCGGCGGCAGCACCAGCAGCTGCGGCAGAAGCTGAGGAGGACGCCCCCGCTGCGGCACAGGAGAAGACCCTCTTCAGCGTGAAGCTGATGTCATTCGAGACGAGCGCGAAGCCGAAGGTCATCAAGGAAATCAAGAGCTTGCTAGGTCTGAGTCTGGTGGACTCTAAGAAATTTGTAGAGAGCGCGCCCAAGATGATGAAGGATTCGGTACCGAAAGATGAGGCTGAGAAGATCGTGGCGACCCTGAAGGAGCTTGGCGCTGTCGTCCAGATGGAGTAGATGTGCGGAAGGGGTTGCAGAAGGACTGGGCAGATATCCACGTGGATTTCGGGGCAATATGGACCGCATCTCGGGCATTTGCATGTACAAAGGCACGTGTAATAGTATACAGGATTAGCCGGACGGTAATGTCACCAGCTTCTACACAACCTTGCAGAGGGTATCCTGACATCGTATTCGCAAGACTGCGGATTCTATCAAATTCCTGCCTCGATTCCTCCAAGGGCCGTCGATTGACCGAGGCGCCTTCTAGAGTATTGGGAATCCCCCTCCAGTGACTCGATGGCTGAGTCGCTCTAGACACACCTCAGTAAGTGAGGAGCTCATTGGTGTCAGCGGACTTGTATACTTACTTCGATATTCGTACAATTGAGCTTCCATCCTCACGGTCTCTCCAAGACGGCTCGGCATTTGTCCCGTACCGTAGACTTTAAGCACCGACGGTATTCAGCATAATATTGTCGATGCACGCTGAGGTCATTGCGCGTGATTTCCATTGGGTACGTGTGCCTTCCGTCTCCGTGTCTCCTCGTCCTGGCGATGCACACAGCTATCCACGACGCATCGCTGCCGTTCTTCCTCCTCCTCCTTCGCCAGCAAGAAGTCATCGTCCCCAAGGTCACTCGTCTCGTCCCACATTTTCCACATCTCGGCGTCTGGCGGCTCGTTGGGGACAGCCCATATGCTCTCCCGCAACCTCTTGTGCCGCTCACGGTCCTCCTCGATGCGCTGCTCGATCTGTTTCTTGTCGAGGCGCGGCGGTAGCACCGTGCCGCCTGGCCTGGGTATGGTGCGCGACGCTGGCATGTCGCCTAGCCCCGGATTCGTGCTGTTAACAGGCGAGGACATAACGGCATCTATGCTGGCTGTCTCGCGCTCCTTGAGCACTTCGTTGATCTCGTCGACTGTCTGGGCAGCGAGAAAATTCTTGGATTGAAGGCCTTGGAGAACCTGCTCGCTGGTTAGAAGGGGAGAGAGGCCTGCTATGATGAGATAAGGAAAGGAAAATGGTGCAAGGTAGACAAACCCTCCTGACGACCTTAACATTCGCAGCACCAGAGCCATCGTCCGGAGCCACGGCGTCAACCACCCGGATGATGTCGCGCTGTAACATGCGCACGTAATCGACGTGTCCGTCCTTCTGTGCCATCTCGAGGAAGTGCTCAATGAAGTACATGATATTGGCACGAGTATTCATGTTATTCTGTATTAAAAATTAGCCTGATGACATTCTTCCTACGTAAAGCAGAGACTATATGATGACATACCCGCTCTAGTTGTTCTAATATGCACGAGTGCAAGTCCTCGTCCATGTCTTTGTACTTGAGTGCGTACTGGGCTGCCTTTTGCGCAGATGTCACGGACGCATTGAGGTGCTGCAACTGCGACGAAAATCGCATCCGCACCTCGAAAGGGTCGGCCATTGTATCACTTGAATGATCCCACACGTGTTAATATACCCAGAAGCGCTGAAATGCGAGTTTGAAAATTCAGTGTGTTGTTGGGTTTTTTCCTTCTCTGGTGGGCTATGTTTGAAGAGGCGGGAAGTATAGAGTGAGATGGGCGGCTTCCAGGTTGTCACTGGATGGCAAAGTTGCTCCCCGTTGTAGGGCTGCAGCGCTGGGATCTGGTGCTAGCCTTCTTTAGTTAGGCGGTGTAGCGGCGGGCTACTGGCCCCACGGCAGCTGGACATCAGTGCTTAGAATTCCACTTTAGCAAGAGCGATTCCTTGGCAGTGCTCACATGTCGAAATGCAGTGTCACCTTCATGCTGAATTCTGAATTTCGCTGCCCTAACATGCATAGTGAGCGCGCACTTGCAGAGTTTTGGAATCATTTATTCATTGGGCAATTCAGACGCCTTTTATTATTGATCAAAGATCCACATTCCTCTCAAACTCAAAGTAACTAACCATTTCCTGTTGAGCCTGAGATCCTGACCAGTTGCCGTGATTTCAAGAGTCCTGCAAATGTGTCCGTGGCCTTGGATGCATCTCTGGAATGCCGGCATGGCATCTTAGAGCTCAGCACCTGCTGAGAAGTTCGAAGGACAGTGACCCCTAGGCTTTCGACTTTTTGCTACTGGACGCCTCAGCCTCCTCCTCCGCCTTCCTTTTTTTACCATCGGTCTTGGAGTGTGCATCCTTGCGCTGCTCAAACATGGACAGAAGCAGGGCGTACTCGAGCTCCACGCTGTTCAGCGTCTCGTTGAGCTTCGTGACCCGCTCGTCGAGGTTGAGCGCACTCAGCTGCTCCTTGTTCTGAGCTGCAATCCTCGACTTGGTGACCAGCTTCCACAGCCTGTACTCGTGTTCCTCCGCCTTTGTGGCAGCTTTCTTAACTTTCCCCTGTACCGCGTCCTCCAGCTTCGTGAGCACCGAGTCTGGAAGCTTTGACATGAGATGCATTTCGACCAGTCTGGAGAACTGCCGAGAGGCAATCTTGTACTTGGTGCGCACCGTTTCCAAAACCTTCTTGTCGACAATGTTGCTCAGCACAAAGCCGTTCTTGGAAAGCGTCACGCTTGTGTTGATTCGGATTTCATTGAAGTCAGATTTTTCCCGGAGAAAAGCCAGATCTGCCATATCCCTCAGGGTGTCGAATGCCTCGCTGGGGTCCTCCACAGTGATCTCAAAGGTGTTTGGATCGTCGAGAAGCGTCTTGAAAATCGGTCTGTACAGTCGCTGACCATTGCCTTTGTGCTGGAAAGGTGGCAGGATGACGAACTGTGATATTCTGGATCGGCACGGAAAGTCTGAGAAGGGCGTTGTCTTTGTCGGAAGTTCAAGATCGCCAGTAGCCCCACCGTCAGGCGTCTGAGGTCGGAAGATGAAGAATCGATAGACTGTTGAGTATCCGACAAATACGTAGGTGTACTTTCCAGGCTCGTTTGCGCGCGGCTGCTTCTGATAGAGGAAGAACACCGTCCATCGATCCAGAAAGTCCGCCTCGGCATCTTCTGTGGACTCCGTTTGTATTGGCGTTCCTGCCTCTATGAAGAGAGACACCAGGATTTGGATCCTCTTGACAAGCGCCAAAACCAGAGGATCGGCTAGATTGCCCCTCCAGACTTCATACAGATCCTCCGTGTCGCCTTGGAACGTCTCGACCAGCTCTCCGGGCGGGTGCCACTCATCGGAACTGTTTTGGACAGCGACTTCAAAGTCGGCTGCCTTTCCAAATGCGACTACAAGGGGTTAGTATTGAGAAGGCGAAAGGGAGGCAGGGAAAGGGGGGGGGGCTTGCCTGGAGGTAGGAAGGGCTCGAAAAGGTCTCGAATCTCTGGCGACTCGGCGATCGCAACGGTAGCAGGTACTCTCTTTGTTGATGTGTGAGAGATGTGTGGGCGCATGTCAGATGCATTGAAGCGGAGACTGATCTTCAATCCCTTGTAGCCATAGATCGTTTCCTCATCGTTGTTAACGATGGGATAGGTCCAAGTTGGTCGAAAGCTTGCGATGGTCTTAGGACGCCCTTGCTCTGCCTTAGTGACCAGGCTGATGTTCAAGATATTGCTCGCCTTGACGGTCCACTCGTCCAGAACTTCCTCTGCCATGGTGACTGTAGCGGTCCAATGGATGCACTCTGATTCCTTGACGTCGAATTCTCGATCCCTTTGTATGAGAAAGTTTAGAGTCGTGATGTTTTAGATGAAAGGCAAAGGTCGAGGTTTGAGTGCGAACGCGAATGAGATCGCGGTGCGGTGCGACGCGACGTAGAGCTAAATTAGGTGCACCGTGTAGAGAAAGTCGATAGCCTGCTGAGGCCCTGCGGGAGGGAATGCAGGGGTCCGCCACGATCTGCGTGAGTGAGACAGGGGGAGCTTGCAGTTACTACCACAGTAATTGCTTCTCCTGCACTACACCCGTCCGTCTCACCAGACTTTCGGGGCAATCGACCAGCGACGCTTGACACGACCTCGAGTTTTTACACGCCTAGAAAATTTAACAAAGGCTTCAACCCGTTCGACATAGCAGGCGAGGACGGACCAATCGTCCCAGAAGGGAGCAGGAAACCTTTGGCAGAAATTCCTCGACATCGCTATCCCGATTGGACACATCAGTCTTTCAGGCTCGCCCCTCCGTTTCAAGATCTGTTCAATCGCGTCCCTCACCCATGCGCTCAATATTTGGATAGCATCAGATTCATGATGGGCGGGCTTTTTCTTCTCCTCGTCCTGAGCGTGAGCCTACAACCTCTCTGAAATGACCACGGACCGCACCAGCTAATTGTACATATCCAGTTGGTGATGGCTCTTGCCTCGTTCCTCGCCGGTGCTCTACCTCTATCGATGACCCTCAGCCAATCACAATTACGCTTAATATCGAGCATAGGAGTTGGAATACTCGTCGGCACATCCTTGATTGTCATTGTACCGGAGGGTGTTGAGGCTGTTGCGTCTTCAGGGGCCGGGGCACACGAACCACGCGGCTTAAGATCGATCGTCGCAGCGCGCCAGGTGCCGCAGCCCATATTGCCTCGAGACTTACCTGCGATAAAAATTGTGGAGGAATCGCCTGTCGATCATGGCACAATTATACGCGAAGCACTGGAAAAAAGGGACGATGCGCCAATAGCAGAAGGGGATGCGCCGGCTGAGCCACCAAAGGGAGACGTAGTGCAGCACGAGGACGATGGCTTCCCAACATTCTATATCGGATTCTCCTTGATGCTGGGCTTTGTCCTCATGTTCTTGATTGACAGACTACCGCAACACGCCACCGACGGGTTGAACAGGGTCCCAGCAACACGGCATATCAGTCTGGACAACCTCGGCTCCTCAAGCGTCAATGGCGAGGGTGAAGACGAGCATGACGGCTTCTTGAGCTCCTTATCGCCGTCACCGAGACAGTCGAGGAGTCTTGCAACCACCGTGGGCCTAGTGATCCATGCGGCGGCGGATGGGATCGCAATGGGCGCATCGGCAACGACGAGCGACATGAAGCTAGGAATTATCATCTTTGTTGCGATCATGGTTCACAAGGCGCCTGCGGCCTTCGGGTTGACATCATTGCTGCTCAGGCAGGGGCTATCAAAACGGGCTGCTCGAGGACACTTGATGGCGTTTAGTCTGGCAGCGCCTGTCGGTGCGCTTGGCTCCTTCATCCTCGTGTCGATCCTTGGTGGTGGGAACATGGACGGCCCCACGGGGCAGTGGTGGACCGGCATGCTTCTCTTGTTCTCCGGCGGCACTTTCTTGTAAGTTGTCTCCCCGAAAACACCGATTTAATCAGGTGGCTGACCGGAGTGGTCAGATATGTTGCCATGCACGCCATGCAGGAGGAGCCATCTGCACAACCACACGACCACCATTCGTCTATGAACGGCTACGCAGACAGCCCGCAGAGGAAACCTGGGCGACCGCAAGTGAGAGATACAGTGGCCACTGTAGGTGGTATGCTTCTACCTCTTCTCACACAGTTTGGGCACCATCATTGAAGGGCATTGGCTCTTGTATGAGTAGGAGTATTTAGCTTTTGTTTAGGTTATGCCATGGTTGGCGACTGTCGAGAGTGTTGTGGCGTGGGCATCGACGGCGTTCGGGATCTCCAGCATAGACAGCGACTACGTTTATCAGCGTGCGTGCGTGTGTCATGCATAGCTGTTTGGATCGTGCAGTTTTCGAGGTGGCGTCTAGGTTTTGTGGGTTTTCTTCTCAGCACTGCACGGCCACGGTACATACTATAGGACAACAATTGTTGGGATTATTCATTGGTTCTTCGCTACGGTCTACATGGAGACGTCGGCTCCCTTGCTCTGCCGCCGTTTTTTATTTCTCACCCCCCACCCCGGTAGACGTCGTATCGCACGAAAAGAGCAACGCATTGTCTACAGGTCTGCGGCAACTCGAAGTCTCCTCAAGGCATAACAAAGTCCGCATCAGCAGCAGCAGCAGTAGCAGCAATAGCCCGCCTCACGTAGAGCCTAGCCAACTGTGTTGCGCCGACAACAATCATCATGTTCCTCACATCCAGAAATCTGCAGTACAAGCGTGGACAGCTGCGGCCTTACATGTCTCAAGTCGGAGAACACAAGACGAGCACAGTCAGAGACAGTTGGAACAAAATGGCTGCAGGGCAACACGGCATTGTCTGGCGTGGCGCCGAACAATCGCTCTCTGGGGGCGCACAAAATCCAACGGCCGTGTCTCGATCGCCGGGAGCAGAAAACAAAATCGAAGCCGCTCATCTTCGGCTGCTAGACCCAGTGCTGACGCTGACGTGAGGGAGGACGCGCCACATTGGGCAAGTCGTGAGAGCATGCATGACATTCGGAGAATGCTTTTAGTGTTGTAGGTTGTTGTCAACCTGAGCCTGCCATCTCTCTCCTTTTGTCTCCAATGGGAAGAGGGAGAGAGGAAGAGAGCGAGAGAACAATACATCGAAGTTGTATCACGGTCGATCCTACAGGTCGGGGTGGCCTGGAAGCGTACGGTTGTTGAGGCTGAAGTTGATGTGTGTTCAGCATATTCCTGCAGCGTAGCGCTTCCTCCCGGAGGATTTTTTTCAACGGGTCTAAAAATATTGTGTGCTCGGCAGAGAGGTGTTTAAATCCTTTGGATCGCTGTTTCAGATACGCATTTCTACGAAACGTACGTGGGGTCTCGAGTAGTCCAGACGGAATGGTATGTGTGTGGCTGGGGATTTACATAGCCTGATATTTGAAGAGACCTGCCTGCAAGGCCTATTTTGTTGGCCAGCACAACACACCATTATCATGGCCGCCTGGATGGTCGCCACAGTGAAGCAATCGATCCTGTCCAGTGGACTGGTAGCAAGATGTGTCAATGTAGGCAGAACAACAGGCTTGGACTCATGACATCGTGTCGGGGTCTCGAGGCTGAAATCAGCTCTCAGAATGGTCCAGATGTCCTCCCACACGCAGTACTAACTTTGGTGTCCAAGCGCCCGCGCCGAATCAAACTGAGAAATCGGTGTCCATCCGCAAGGAACCCGGTGTGGCTGCGATTTTAAGGGGGGGTTGGAAGGGAGAATAGGGAGGGAGGATAAGGTTGTGGGTACACGCAACGGAGTGGGTGTGAAATCATAAGTTTCGTGGTAGTGAAATTGAGTGACGTCTTTTGCTTCTTACAAACCAGACCCTGACCAGGTTGCAGAGGGTGCGTGGCACCAGTGGTCTGTTGACAGCAAGCGTTGTATCGTAAACATGATGAGTTGGTCCAAGCACGACTCAGCGCTCTCTTGCTGTGATGCCGTTTTTGCAATCTACCACAGAGCAGATACTATGCTACATCTACATGTGAGTGGGACACAGGGAGAAAACGAGGCGAAAGGGAAAGAGGAGAAAATGAAGAAAAAATTCTGCTCCATGAACATTTCATGTGTACTGGGTCAAGATGTGAACAAGAGAGAAGAGAGAAGGTTCAGGAGGGCCCCTGTTTTAGCCATGACACGGGAATGCATGTAAACTGCATAGATCGCCAGAAACACCCCCGGAGAAGGGGTTTGGGGTTTTTTCCCTTCTTTTCTCTCTCTCTCTCTCTCTTTCTCCCCCCTTCTTTTTCTTGTCTTGTCAGGCAGACCCCCTGTAAGTCTGAAGGCTGGCATTCCTGGTTTCTAATCACACCCTCCCTGTCAGGGCCTGTCATGCCCTGCTGACTGCCAGACATTGAACAAGAACGGGGGGGAATACGAAAGCATAGCAAGAACCTGGTTTGGGGACGCTCTTGGCTGGCACTTTTGATTTTTACAATTTGTGATGCTGGAGCATGATGAAATAGGCAGTTATCGTTCAAAGCATCTATGGCAAAAACATCTCTTCGTTGTGTTGGACCTGACACTTGCAGGCTTTCCTCCGTGGGTTGTGATTTATCTGTCCGTCTCTCTGCAACCATCATTGATCAAAGTTGAAGCAGGCGGATGCGGCAGCTTGACTCTTTCCGGGAACAGGAGAGAGAGAGAGAGCAGCCACCTCCACCTGCAGGCCCTGGATCAGACAAGAAGACCACCTGCATGAATCCTGCCCTTGCCCCCGCTGCCGCACGTCGATTTGAGCCCAGTCCATCCATTTCCAACAGGCCGCCTCGACCTGGTTGAATCTGACATCCTTCATTCCCCATTCTCCTCACCTCATACGCACTCGCCCACCCTGCATCCAAGACACACCTCCTCCTCACCTTCGCCCCTACGGCACACACACTCATACGACATACCGAGTGGGCGGAGAGGCCGAATTGTCCTCACTTTTTGTCTTATTCCAAAGTTCCTCATTTCTTTTCGCCTGGGCGGTTTTTGTTCCTTCCTTTTTTCTTCTTCTTTGGTGTTTGATTCGTCTTGTTTATTCTGCCACCACCACCGCACTCGACAGCGCCCGCGCCCTGCCGTCATCTAATCTCTCTCCCGCCTCCTTGCCCCCCCTTAACCGAGGATTAACGTCCGCCTTTCTTCTTGTGTCTGATGTACGAATCGTTTTCTCCAATTCTGCATTATCACGCCTTCGCACTGGAGCACGCACCTACACACGATCCCACGGTTTAAAGTTACACGCTACACTGTCATCCGGACGCCTTTTTCTCACCTCCGATCAAAGCATCCGAACTGTCGCCCCCCCCCCCCTTTTGGATTCCGGCGCCTATTAAGTGTCAACGTTACAGGCCACCTTCTTCTGCCCTCTTGAACGACGCCTTTTGGAACGATCACTATAGGAATCACGTCGACACGTAACTATTTCTTACTTCTGATTTTCGGGGGAAAGAGCTACGCAGTGCTACTCCTTCTTGAGTAGGGGCAGAGTCAACGGCAACAATTTTTTACTTCTTTTTCTGGTTAAGGTCAGTGCTATTATCATCATTCCCCCCTTGGCGAGTCTAGTGTATCATACGAAACTGCTGGTTGCCCCGAAGTCTGTGAATTGACCAGGCGCCATAGACCTGGGTCGAGACCCAGGACCCCATAGACATTGTCAAACTGACTGTATGCGCCAAAAACAGAGACGATCTTGAGCCCCATCAACGAGTCCAGATCGATCGAAACCTCCCTCCGATCGCTCCTCGGCCGCCCAGATCGTGCTCGAGTTTTACATCCATACATTGGCATTGGCTTGTTGAAGGATAGCTCGAGGATGGATTCCTACGGCCATCGGCCGCTCAGCTTTTCTGACAGAAGAGCGAGCCTGTACTCGGGCGAGGAATTGGTTATGAACAGCGGCAACCACTCCATCAAGATCCCTCAGCCTCGACCGCCGCGAGGACCCCCGACTCCCAACATGAGCACTCCTGCTACCGACTTTGACCAGACGCTGACCGGATCACCCCCGCCTCCACCTACTCCGGCAGCCTCTCCTGGTCCGTCCAACGCCCAGCCCGACTGGAGCGATGCCGGAGATGAAGAAGACATATTCTTGGCTAAATGTCGGCAGCACTTTCAGAGCTGCTCGGGTCCCCAGCGAACCCGCATTCTGGCTGACCTGTTGAACCTGTGCACAAGCCAACAGCTTTCCTTCGTTCATCAGTTCGTCAGTCCTCTGCTGAAGAAAGATCCGTTCACCAGTCTACCGGATGAATTGTGCCTTAGGGTTAGTACAACGCGGCTGTTCGGTCCGTGTCTATGACGTGTCTCCGCCCTTGCTGACGTGAGAGCAGATCTTATCATTCATCGACGACCCCAAGGTCCTGGCGAGAGCGTCTCAAGTTTCCCGCAGATGGCGAGATCTTCTCAGCGACGACATGACCTGGAAGAACCTTTGCGTGAAACACGACTACGGCCGTCGCTTGTCAGACGTAGGATCCGCGCTACCTGCATACGCCTCCAGACCCGGAGCACAACCGCTGCTCTCCGCAGACGGCCAGTTCGCAAATCACAGTTTCCCAGGCGCCTACCCCTCCGCAGCCGCCATGTCTGCCTCTAGGAGTCTGGACGGGTCGAGTGCGCCGGCCAGGCCGATGCTCAAGTCTTACAAGTCACACTTTAAGCAGAGATACCTAGTCGATGCGGCCTGGCGGACTGGGGGTAAATCCACAACACGAGCCATTACGCAGGACGGAGGAGTCGTGACCAGTCTGCACCTCACGCCCAAGTACATCATTGTGGCGCTGGATAACGCCAAGATTCATGTCTTCGACACCGAGGGCAATGCGCTGCGTGTCCTCCAAGGTCACGTCATGGGTGTATGGGCTATGGTCCCCTGGGAAGATGTCCTAGTCAGCGGTGGCTGCGATCGTGACGTCCGGGTCTGGGAGCTAAACACTGGGTAAGGATGCCCTCTCACCACATTCTTTTATTTCTTTCTTGTCTGCTTGTTTCCTTCTTTTGGATCTCGTCATCCCACTAACCTTGTCTCAGAGTCTGCTCCTACACCCTCAGAGGCCACACTAGTACTGTGCGCTGTCTTAAGATGTCAGATGCCAATACGGCCATCTCGGGCTCGAGGGATACCACTCTTCGTGTCTGGGACATTCGTACTGGCCTGTGCCGCAACGTCCTTGTGGGTCATCAAGCTAGTGTGCGGTGCTTGGAGATCAAGGGTGATATCGTGGTTTCTGGCAGTTACGATACCACAGCCAAGATCTGGAGCATCTCCGAGGGCAGATGTTTGCATACGCTGCAAGGTCATTATAGCCAGATATATGCTATCGCGTTTGACGGCGCCAGGGTAGCAACTGGCAGCCTGGACACCAGTGTTCGGATCTGGGATGCCTCCACCGGGTAAGTCAAGCCCCCACAAAGAGAACGATTAAAAATTCGTTTTGTGGCTGACCGATATCACAGAGAATGCCTCGCAGTCCTGCAGGGTCACACCTCTTTAGTCGGCCAATTGCAGATGAGAGGCGATACCCTCGTGACCGGTGGCTCAGATGGCTCGGTCAGAGTCTGGTCTCTGTCCAAATTTGTACCAATTCACCGACTGGCAGCTCACGATAACAGCGTTACCAGCTTGCAATTTGACGATACTCGTGTCGTCAGCGGTGGCAGCGATGGACGGGTAAAAGTATGGGACTTGAAGACTGGCCACCTAGTCCGCGAGCTCATCGCGCAGGGTGAAGCCGTATGGCGCGTCGCCTTCGAGGATGAGAAATGTGTGGCAATGGCTCTCCGCAACAACAGGACTGTCATGGAGGTGAGTTGAGCTACGTTTCCAGCATGTGGGACCTTGAACTGACGATAAGTATGTAGGTCTGGTCTTTCTCGCCCCCGCCAGACGATGAGAGGCCTCTGTCCATGGATGCCTTGGATGATCCCAACCGACCGAAGAGCGCGCTGGCCTTGGACTGGAGACAGCCGCAGCCAGCAGTCATCCCGGGACTGCCTCCACGAGACAATCGAGAGGATGTCGACATGGAGGATGCAGGCCCCTCGACGGCACCTCTTCAAGGTGGCGGTAGTACATTCTTTCACGACTGAGCTCGAACCGGCATATACTCATCAGGCCGATATGATATTCATGTGATCCGACGCCTCCCAATTTTGGGGTCATATATTATCTTTGTCGGTGGCAAATATCTCTACACTCAAAAACGGGGCGGCATCATTACCCTTGGGATCTCTTACATCAAGACGTGCATAGCATGGGCTGGGTCGTCTGCTTTTCCACACTGCCGTCGATAATACCGCATTTGGGTACAGGCCGCATTTTCTTCTTGGTTACAAAATCGTTATTACTTTTAGCTTCCGGGATGCGGACTCGGATTTTGGTTACGATGCATGCATGGCTTAGGCGTTAATAACTGCAGCGAGCGTTGGCATTGATTTTGATGCGAACCGACCGGAGTGAGCGGTGTCAAGTTACAAGGGGCTCAAAGGGAGGCATCATGATGGGGAGGATAGACCGTCGACGCGTTAGCTAGCTCGAAGAAAAGTCAGCACGACACCATCTTCATTACTTTCCGGCCCCAAAGTCTATGATCGGGACGCGTCTGAGGCTGATGCGTTACACCCGTTGGGAGCTTCTTGTGCTCGCACACGCTCGCAAACAGCAATGTTGATGTCAATCCACTACTTGTGAAGCCTGTAAAACCGTGTAATTGACCGCTCAATATGACGACATACGTACATGCGAACAACAAGTAAGACAACTTGGAAGGCTGACATGGCTAGTAAGTGACGAGAAGAGTGTCGTGTGGATAGATACATATATTTTATAGAATTTTTGTTTATTTTAATTTCTCTCTTCCTTCTTCGCTCTGTATTTATCCATTTTCCTTTTCTCTTTCTTTCCTCTTCTCAGAAATCATTGGCATATCAGCAGTAAACTGGTAATGGCTCGAAATAAATCGAACGCGAATTGTTGCGCTGGGTACCACCTGAGAACAAGGAGCAGGTCCCCCCCGCCCCCCCCCCCCCCAAAAAAAAAAAACCGCCTGTGTGTGAGGCATTAGAATGTCCGCGATTCGGGCATTTCAGATAGCCACCCGGAGGAAAGAGGTACGTACCTCGACTGCAGTCCCCCGAAAAATCCACGCTAGCGCAAAACCCGCTCGCTCCGTGCCCAACATTTCGTACGCCGACGTTCGCTCGCTCTCCCACTTCTGCAAAACTTCGTCCACAACAACCATCACATCGCCGCCATGTTCTCACGGGCAGTCAGACAAGCGGCTGTGCCTCTGCGCACTACTCGGCCTTCCATTCCTCTAGTGGCCGCCAGACGAACCGTCACTACGAATGCCGCCTCGTCGAGCGTCGATAAGAGCGCAGTCCCCCAGGTAAGCAACAGCTACCGGCAGCTTTCAGCTCTACCAGCTGCATCTGCCCACCGTCTTCGGACGATTGACCGATTGACGCTTTCCACGGCATACCAATTTTCTGTAGAGGGGTTTCTGGTATGCCCTGTACCGTGGTCGAAGCTGACAGGAAACGTTCCAGTCCGACGACGAGCCTTTCATCGTCAACCTGAACGATGAGAGCTTCGAGACCTACGAGTTGGACCCCCCTCCATACACCCTCGAGGTGACCAAGAAGGAGCTGAAGAAGATGTTCTACGATATGGTTGTCATTCGGTATGCGCTCTCTTACAAGTTTGAAGGCTCTGGTGGATGTAGAAGCAAGCTCTGACAGACGGGGGGAAAACAGACAGATGGAGCTGGCTGCCGATCGGCTTTACAAGGACAAGAAGATCCGAGGTTTCTGCCATCTTTCCACCGGCCAGGAGGCCGTTGCCGTCGGCATCGAGCACGCCATCACTAAGGAGGACGATCTCATCACCGCCTACCGTTGCCACGGCTTCGCCCTCATGCGCGGCGCCACTGTCCGGTCCATCATCGGCGAGCTCCTCGGTAGACGCCAGGGTATCGCCTATGGAAAGGGTGGATCCATGCACATGTTCGCCAAGAACTTCTACGGTGGCAACGGTATCGTCGGTGCTCAGGTCCCTGTTGGTGCTGGTCTGGCCTTTGCTCACAAGTACAACGGCCGCAAGAACAGCTCGATTATCCTGTACGGTGACGGTGCCAGCAACCAGGGACAGGTCTTCGAGGCTTTCAACATGGCGAAGCTGTGGAAGCTGCCCGCTCTGTTCGGCTGCGAGAGTAAGTCGACGTCCCGTCTGGATTTTGCAGGAATCATCTAACGGGGGATGACAGACAACAAGTACGGTATGGGTACGGCGGCTGCTCGTTCCTCTGCCCTAACGGACTACTACAAGCGTGGCCAGTACATCCCTGGCCTGAAGGTCAACGGCATGGACTGCCTGGCTGTCAAGGCTGCGGTCAAGTACGGCAAGCAGTGGACTGACGCCGACAATGGCCCTCTCGTCCTCGAGTACGTCACCTACCGGTACGGAGGCCACTCCATGTCGGACCCTGGCACCACCTACCGTACCCGTGAGGAGATCCAGCGCATGCGCAGCACCCACGACCCCATCTCGGGCCTGAAGCAGCACATCCTGGACTGGTCCGTCGCGACCGAGGAGGAGCTGAAGGCCATCGACAAGGAGGCTCGCAACCACGTCAACGAGGAGGTTGCCGCCGCCGAGGCCATGCCCGCGCCCGAGGCTACCCCCCAGATCCTGTACGAGGACATCTACGTCCGGGGATCGGAGCCGCCTTTTATCCGGGGACGTACGCCTGATGACAACTTCTACTTTGCCTAAATGGGTCGAGGTAAAAATTTATTGGACACAAAGAGAAGTGAAGCACTGTGCACTACCCTGGCCTGGCGTTCTGCATGTACAATACCAAGAAAGATAAGAAACAGTGGATTGGACTAGGAGGAAAACCGGGATCCTATAGAAATACTAAGTACTCGGGGGAGGTTCATTTCATTCCATAATTAATTTCTGAGCGATGAGTCGAGGAACCAATGTGACAAAAAGTGCAAGGTAGAGAGAGAAAGACATACCTTCACAATCATGCGGACGAGGAGTCGCTTGTCGAGTAACACCTACCTAGTGCACCTCTACCTAGTACGCTGTACTAGGAGGAGGGTTCAATTTCACTTTCTATCTTATCCCTATATCTAGGAGAGTTTCCCTAAAGAAAAGTGAAGGAAAAGAGGTGGAGGGGAGGGGGGGAATAAGACCGGGAAAAGAATGCTAATTCAGCAAATGAAAGAAGACAGAAGAGAGAAAAGGGGAGAAAAGAAAAGTACAATCCATGTACACATGTGGTCGAGGCTGCCAAAGAAGAGGAAGATGCCGAGGGGTTGGCAGTGCAGGGTGCTACTGAATGGGAGGAGCGCACGTGAGACGCGTTGGACTCGGGTCCCCCAAATTGACTCGCCCAGCGCGTCATCCCAAAGTCGCGTCATTAGGTAACCACGAGCCGCCAAAACCCATTTCTGCAAGAACGAGCTATTGCTTCTGCCTAAGACTGCTTAGTCCCCTCTTGAGTTGATTGACCACCTTTTCCCCTCAATCTATAAAACTCACCTACGTCTATTTCTCTCTTCTTCAGTTCTTCGTCACACGCACAAGTGTTCGTTCAGTGTGGCTTCAAGGCACGTCTTCCAGCTCGCGACGCGCACCTCGCTCCGGCTGCTCACCATGGCGCCCAAGCAAGCGACTCTGGGGTATGTCAAGCCGTCGCAGACCACCTTGGGGTGTGTGCATGCAATTCTTCACCCTTTACAGCGATACTACCTTGTCTTATGATTCATAGCATTCATGGGTGAAAGCTTGGGAATATGAACTGACCAATGTACTTATTTGGTGCGTCCTGCAGAAAGTTTTTCGGAAAGCACACCGGCTCCAGGCCCGCCCCTACTCAGCAGACAAAATTGTCTTTTGCGTCGAAGCAGGTCAGCACGTCGAAGGAGGATGAGTATGAGGAGCATGGAGATGATGTCAAGGCGGAGCCATCAAGCCAGGAAAGCACGGGTGATGCCAGTGCGAAGGAGAACTCGAATCCTGTGCAAGGTGAGGGCAGCCCATCTATTGCGCATTCAGAAGCCATCAGACTGACTAGAGATATGCAGAGGTCAAGAAGCGCGGACGGGCTCCGAAGGCCTCCAAGACATCAGCAAAGCCGCCTGATGGTAAAGCAAAGCTAAAGGAAGAGACGGACGACCTGGACGAGGACGAGGACGATGCTGCGCCAGTTAGGAAGCGTCCACGAAAGAGCCGAAATCTGCTTGACGAAGAGGATGAGGACGAGGCTATGGATGAGGCGCCAGCTCCGAAGTCCAAGCCGAAGAAAGCGGCGAAGCCAGCCAAGGCCGCGTCGCCGAAGCCAGTAAAGAAGGAGCCGAGCCCCAGTATTGAAGATAAAGACGCGAAGGCTGCCACGGAGTCGGAATCGGAATCAGAGAGAGAGGCGGAGGAGAGTGAGGAGGAGAAGCCCGAGGTCGCCGCAAAGGTTCGCAAGACCGTCCAAACGAAATTGACCAGCAATGTCAAGGACCCGTATCCTGACTGGAAGCCTGGCGAGCCTGTGCCGTATGCCGCGCTCTGCAAGACATTCTCCTTGATCGAGCTCACGACCAAGAGGCTCGAGATCCAAGCACACTGCTCGTTGTTTCTGCGGCAGGTCTTGAGGCTCACACCTGATGATATGGTACCGACGATCTTGTTGATGATCAACAAGCTCGCGCCCGATTATGCGGGCATTGAATTGGGCATTGGAGAGTCTTCGATCATGAAAGCAATCGGAGAAACGACAGGTCGAACATTGGCGGTCATCAAAAACGATCAGAAGGAGATCGGAGATCTTGGCTTGGTAGCTGTCAAGTCTCGCTCCACCCAGCCGACCATGTTCAAGCCTAAAGCTCTGACTGTACGAGGTGTTCATACGGGCTTGATGGGCATTGCTACTGTGACCGGTTCTGGTGCCCAGGGCAGGAAAGTTGATGGCATCAAAAAACTTCTGTCTGCGGCGGATGCACACGGCACGGGCAAGGTAGACATCACCAAAGACAAGGGCGGCCCAAGTGAGACCAAGTACCTTGTCCGCTTCCTAGAGGGAAAGCTGCGACTTGGGCTGGCGCAGCAGACTGTGTTAACATCTCTTGCCCATGCCATGATCTGTCATGAGGCTGGATTGAAGAACGAGGTTCCAAGCACTACCGAGATGGAGCAGGCCGAAACCACGTTGAAGACTGTCTACAGTGAGCTGCCAAGCTACGATGTCATCATACCCGCAATGTTGGAGCATGGCATATTAAAGCTGCGGGAGAACTGTAAACTATGCCCCGGCGTGCCACTGAAGCCCATGTTGGCGAAACCGACCAAGGCAATCACAGAAGTACTGGACCGGTTCGAGGGCCGAAAATTTACCTGCGAGTACAAGTACGACGGTGAACGAGCGCAAATCCATTACGTCGCCAAGGATGCAGACCAGCACCTCAGCGAGGCCACAGCGGGGGCAACGAAGGCGGTTGGTGATGGCGTTGCGTCCATCTTCTCGAGAAATTCGGAGGACCTGTCCAAGAAATACCCTGACATTCTAGCGAAGCTGCATACTTGGGTCAAAGAGGACACCAAGAGCTTCGTTCTCGATTGCGAGACTGTGGCCTGGGACACCCTTGAAAAGAAGGTTCTGCCATTCCAGAACCTGATGACAAGGAAAAAGAAGGATGTCAAGATTGAGGACGTCAAGGTCAAGGTGTGCGTCTTTGCCTTTGACTTGCTGTACCTGAATGGCAAGGCCATCGTGGAGAAGTCTCTGGCAGAACGACGTGAGTTGCTCCACGAAGCCTTCGTTCCTGTTGAGGGAGAGTTTGCGTTTGCGACGCACACGAACGGTCAAGAGCTGGATGATATCCAAACTTTCCTGGATGAGAGTGTCAAGGCCTCTTGCGAAGGTCTGATGGTGAAGATGCTGGAGGGCAGTGAGAGCGCGTATGAGCCCAGCAGACGGAGTCAAAATTGGCTCAAGGTATGTGAACTGAAAGCCCCTTTTTTACATTTCTTTCTTGCTGACAATACTCTTGTAGATCAAGAAAGACTATCTCTCCGGTGTGGGCGACTCCCTCGATCTGGTCGTACTGGGTGCCTACTATGGCAAGGGCAAGCGGACATCCGTCTACGGCGCTTTCCTGCTGGCCTGCTACAATCCGTCGTCTGACACTTACGAGACGGTTTGCAACATCGGTACTGGGTTTTCTGAGGCCGTGCTCGAAGAGCTGCACAAGTCGCTTAATGCGATCGTTATCGATCGGCCGAAGCCGTTTTATGCGCACTCCTCTGGAAACCAACACCAGCCGGATGTCTGGTTCGAGCCTCGCTACGTCTGGGAGGTACGCACCGCGGACCTGACGCTCAGCCCGCGGTACAAGGCAGGAATGAAGGAGGGTGTCGACCCGGCGGGCGAGAAGGGCATCAGCCTGCGGTTCCCGCGCTTCATCAAGGTGCGCGATGATAAGAAGCCGGACGAGGCGACGAGCAGCCGGCAGGTGGCGGAGATGTACCGCAAGCAGGAGAGCGTGTCCAAGAGTAAGGGCCCAGCGGTGGATGATGATTACGAGTACTAGTTCAAGGCTCAAGGTAAGGGCAGGGGGGAGGATCTTTTTGAAAGGCGAACTTCCCAAATTGCATAGTCGCTCTCGAGACAAGACCTGTTGAGGCTGTCAGTGGTTGCATGAGCTCAGACTCGCATCAAATAATTTGCAATCATGAGATCTTGGCTCAAATTAGTGGACTCTAGTGAAAGATGCTTCGTGAAGAAATTTCGGGCAATGCCTTAGTATGTCTATGCTAATATACTCGCCTGCAACAAGAACGTGCACCCCACAGCAGCTTCTTCTCTCTTATAGAATCGAGTCCACCTCCGCACTCGGGCTCGGCTCCTCGTCAGCCGCCATATCACCACCACCCCTCCTCCCAGCGCTTAGCAGGCCCCTCTGTTCCCCCTCGCCATCCTCCCTCATGATTCCCGTCTCAATGCCCAGGTTACCCGCCGTCCCCGTGGTCCGCCTAGTCTCTTCGGCACCATTGAGCACATACCAGACGTCTTTCTTGGTCAGGAGGCCCTGCAGCACACCCCTATCGCTGAAGAGCACGTAGCGCAGGCCGAGCTTCTGGAAGTAGCTCACGGCGAGGTGCAGGCTGGACAGCGAGGGCAGGGTGATCGGGGTCCGGTCCATCCAGGGCCTGAGGTCGAGAGTGGTGCGGGGGTCCGCGAGGGCCTGGTGCGAGAAGAAGGCCTCGGTCTCGGGCGGGAGGGTGCGTGCGGCCGTGTGGAGGTTGTAGCTCAGCTCTGCGCGCGAGATGTAGCCCAGCAGCACGGCCTCGCGGGGATCACTTATGACGGGGAAGCCGCGGTAGGCGTGCGCGTCGAGGATGGCGCTGAGCGAGGCGATAGTGTGGCCTGTCGCGGTGAGAACGACCAGGTCCTCGATGCGAGTCATGATCTGGGCGGAGGGGATGTCTGGGATGTTCATGAGGTTATCGTCGCTGTTGTCGAGGAAAGGGTACTCGTTGAGATGGATCCAGGACTCGTAGATGCCGCGCCGCGAGATGGCGTCTCCTGTCCACTTGGAGATCATGACAGCGATCATGATGGGCAGCACGTATGTGAGTGCACCCGTCAGCTCGAACATGATTACCACGATAGAGACAGTCATGCGCGTCACACCAGCGAGGGTTGCAGCTGCGCCGATGATGGCATAGGTGCCAGGGTTGATACACGGGACGTCAGGGGCGCACTGGCGGCTGAAAGGGTAGAATTTCGGATGGTCGTGCACCCAGATCTCCATGATAATGCCGACCGCGCGGCCTGACAGTGCACCGATCGCCATGGACGGTAGAATGATACCGGCGGGAATCTGTAGGCCGAAGGTGATTGCTGCGAGGAAGAAGCCCAGGACTGCGGCGAAAAGCAGGAGCACGATAGTACCTGCTGATGCGGCACCAGTCTTGCAGAGGCCAAACTGATCGTCGTTGCCGAGTCTTGCGCACTCTGCAAAGAGGTTTGCTACGAGCTCTGACGACTGTGCGCGCATGTAGAGGTTGGGATAGTTGACTAGAGCGGTTAAGATGGCCACGGCGACAACCTGCGTGACAGCGCCAGGGACCAAATTGGAGGTTTTCCTCCACTGAGCTATCTTCATGTTCAGCTTAATAAAGGATCCTCCATAAACACCCTGTGATCTTGTAAGCATATGTCCTGGCAACAGAACGTCTGTTGTTGGCTTACTCCTATAATCCCCATGAGGACGAAAGGCCCAAATTCAAATGAGTGCCATTCGGTGTCGTATTTGACATGATAGAGTGCAGTCTCACCGCTTCGAAACGGGTCGAACGCTCTCAGGATGACGGCACCAACACTGGCACACACGAAGCTCTTCCACATGGTCTTGTCCGGAAAGTAATATGAAATTTGCTTCTCGGCGTCAGTAGATTCATTATGCCAAGTGCTTCAACGCCCATGCAACCTTACCTCGAGACTGAACAACACTCCACCTATGGGGGAACCGAAGGCCACAGAAATTCCAGAGGCGGCCGCGGCAGAAAGAACCTCTCTTTTTCGCGCTGGGAGACTGTTAGACCTCCCATCAAGTTGCATTCAGAGGGATAACAACCTACCTTCGTTCTCATTGATGACGGGGAAGAGCTTGATGAAGAGATTTGCACAACAGCATGCAACATGTACAAGTGGGCCTTCTTTTCCTAACCACATACCAGATGCCACCGACAGACACTGCAGGCATAATCAACTCAGAGGGGGCCATGGTACGTGAAGGGTGGGGGGAGAGCGTGTGCTTGAGCCATACCAGTCCAAGAGACTTCGTTATCAAGGTCCAAGTGCCCAGGAACCTCCTGATGATGAAACCTCCAAGCACAGTCTTGATTTCGGGTATACCACTGTGCTTCGCGTGAATAGCATACTCCTTCACCAAAATGCTGGCACAAAAAGCGAAAAAGACCTGCCACACGTCAGGATCCGAGGGGTCACGGTGCTTGCTTGGGGTGTTGATCGTACCGAGAAGACAATGAAGGAAATATACTCTATAATCCAGCCTCCTGCCGCCGATGATACGTGCAATGCTGTAGCCCATGGGCGCCAACCCAGGCACTGGGCGCCATCGTCGTAACCCATGCAGCAGAACGACTTGTTCAGATAGAATGTACCTCCGTCTTTCTGAGTGCAATAGCCGGCCTTGAGGTCACTGAGCCAGTCTGTGGTGATGTCGATGATAGCTGCTAGAGTTCCAACGAGTATGCCGGTCAAGACTAATATCATCCACTCTTGGGCGGTGTCAAGAGCCAGTTGTGTCTTGCCCAAGAGACCTTTGGCACTGCTGCGAAGAACCCGTAGACGCGTGCGCTCCTTTGTGTATTCGAAAATCCAGTCGATGGCTGTGAGATCCTCATATCCTACTCTTTGCCCTGGGCCCTCGACATACCAGTCTAGTGGCCCTCCATCCTTGGAGGCTGCGTTTCCATTTGCACCTCCCCGCCGCCGCAGTGGTGAGCCGCCTAGATTCTCCAATGGGGTGTGTCCATTGGCCGGCGCCCCATTGCTATATGACGAGTCTGGTCTGTTCCCTCCACTCGACCCTGGACTTGATCCGGTGAAAGTCGTGAACAGCCTGCTCTGTGCGAAGTCGAAGAGGGTGCGCTTTTGCTTGCGCTTGAAGGTTATAGGGGCGGAAAGATCGTGATGCTGCGGCTCTTCGTCGAGGTCTTCATCGCTGTTCGCATGGGGTGGGCTCAAATCGTGCTCGTCGTCGCGGTGAGGCGTGTGCGGTCGATCTGGAGGCGAGTGGGAGGAAGACGACGCCTCCGAGCTGTCCAGGCCGTTGTTCATGTTCGGGAACGGCGCCTTGACAATGTGTGTTCGGTGCTTGCCAAGACATGCCCCATCTCCTGCCTCGATGAAAGGGCTCGAGCTAGGTTGTTGGCATCGAGCGGACGAGAGGCAGTTGTCGTGCGTTTAGAATACAGCAAGTTCAGACCTGGAATCTTGAAAGGAATATTGACCTGTCGTTTCCGGCCCAGGCCCCCTATCGCGCCTAAGTCGGCGATCCTGACCCACACTATGTGCCGCTGAAACCTTGAAGCGGTAGTGCGCTGGACCCCTGAATAGCAGCCTTACTGCTCCCGTCTCTAGGGTGCTTCAGGTACGTGACGTCAATCCAGAGGACCACCTAGTCACTAGGCAAGACCCTGTGAGGACCCTCTAAGAAAAACCCTGAGGCGGCCTTTCGCTTGCACCGGTCACATTCCAGATGAGAAGCACTTAGGCAGCTGTCTGCGCTGAACCCACCGGAATTAGGCTCTAGTCGCCATGTCTTGAGATGTGACAGTCCTTCTGCTAAAGGTCTACTCGAGGTCTGTAGACAACATGACCTCGACGCAAGGAGACGGTGCTCCCACAGCGACAGATCAACACTCATCGCAGACGGGAACGGCTCAAAACCAGGAACAGGAAAGCGGCGAGAATGTGACGGTGACGATTCAGAAAATCCAGGAGCTTTTAAGGACCAAGAATGACACTTCAAGGTTCGTCGGCCTTGCACTGCTCAAGTCTGTCCTCGACAACTCACAACAACTCCGAGAAGATGAGCCTACCATCACGACCTTATGGCAGAGCGTGTCTCCCAAGTTCCTGGACCGTCTACTACGGAGCGGCGCAAACAAGTCTTCGCCAAGTAAAGACGCGAAGGACATGGTCGATATTGCTGTTGCTGTTCTTCACACATTTTCGACCCTTCTCCCAACAAATTTGAAGAAAGAGCCGAGCCTCGTCGACCGGATACCGCTTCTTGTCTCGGTGATACTGTACAGGTACTCATTCCACTGAAACAACCAAAGTTTTCCATGGGCGACATGAGCTGATGTATATGTTGAACAGTTCAGACATCACAACCCAGCTAGTACTTCAGACTCTCCTAACCCTTGTCAGCACTCCGGAAGGCGCCAAGATCTTCCTGAGCGTTGACGATATAAGCTGTCTTGTGGAGATTGCGCCAGCGCGACCTCTCGCCCTCGATGTTTTCCTGCACGCCTTTGTGCAGTCATCTGTGTCGAGCGATGACAGAGCATATTTGCAGTCCAAGATAAACCAGACCGTGCTGGCGCTGGCCGTCTCGTTCAAGGGCACTGATGCCGTCACGCTCTTGAACTTTGTCGACGAACTCTTGCGTAGATTGGAACCTGAGGTACGTCCTACACATGTATCGCGATGGAAATTTGACACTTGCTGACAGACCTGTAGACGGTACCAAAAAACTCAGCATGGTTACAACCCGTCACAAATTTCATCCGCAATTTAGTGACAAGCAAGCCTACTCCAGCAGGTCGGGCGGCATACACAAACCTCACAGCCTCCTTATTACAAGCCTTTCCAGCTGAAGCCTCGAACATATTGTTCTCCGACAAAACCAGATCAGACAAGCCATTCTCCTATTTACTAATCAATCTTGTCTTGATTGATCTGCGCTCCTCGTTCCCGGCTCTCCTCGGACAACTGAATAGTCCTGAGTATGAAATCATCTCCAAGCGGCTCGCTTCAGCCTTCGATATCGTCTCAGCTTTCATCGGGTTTCTAGTCAGATTCCTCGAAGATGAAGATCTCGAGGGCCCGACATTACCACTCATGATGGCCCCTGATCTACTCTTAAAATTGCGCAAATTTATTTCAGAGACCATGTCCCTTGCCATCGAGTACCTTCGCGAGCGGTGGGACGCCTCTGTCGTAGGCGCTATGGGGCTACATCCAGAGGCTCGGATTGGAAAGGCCAAAACATCCACAGGATCTCATTTTACGCTCGCATGGGATTCGAAGACAGAGAGCGCCCACCAAGACCCCTTGGTCTTGGCCGCAGTAAGGGCTCTAGCCATCTGGCTGCGCGAGGATGATAACGATATGTTGCGCAGTGAAGCAGCGGGACTTGGAGATATGTTCATGGACCTCTACAAAACAGGTGCCTCTGACAGGCTTGACTTTAGGAGACCCGTGCTTGTGGCTTTGGAAGGGATTATGACCGTTGACGAGGGTGCGAATTCGCTCCTCGAAAATGAGGGATGGGAAGTACTGACGAAAGACATGCTCTCTATTTTACAGACGAGCTCGTCTGTAGAAGACGAAAATGAGGCTTCCAGGGGTATCGAGATCGTACGTGTGCTTCTGCCAGTCGTTGAAAGGGAAGAGCCCGGCAGTAGGGAGACGTGGATGGGCGTTGTCACGGCGGTGGCCGCTTGGAATGTGCCGGACACTGAGCAGAGTCCGACTATGCTCGACTTCCAGGTAGCTGTTCTCCAGCTGGTCACAGCTCTGTTGTCGAATACACACCTTGGGATGCAGAGGCGGTATGTCCATTCGATCAGCGCTGTGTTGGGCATTGTTGGCCAGATGAAGAGCAAAGCAAGAGGGTACGCGGCAGTGCTCGAGTCGCTCGAGGATGTTGAGAGGACTTTGGGTTCTCTACGGTAGTGGTGAGGAGACCCAAGACTCCTCAGGATGGTTATTAAGGAAGGGAGCCGGTGGGTGGTGAAATAATTCGCGATATTCTGGAACTGGGTTGTTTTCTCGTGCTTATTTACCTTAAGTATGATGCCCTGGTGCACTTCGAACTCATCTCTCCCACTGCGCGCCACAGTCTTATTGGCACAGCTCAAATTCAGTTTCTTGTCACTTCCCGGTCGATATTAATCTCATGAGCTACGTAGGTTCTATTGTGCATGCGTCTGGAAGGAGTGCAAAGTAATACAAGGAAGAGCTGCAACTACTCCTATTGATCGTATAAAATAAACAGATACTAATACGGACGTAAAAAGTGCGAGAGCAGTTGGTAGCACATGGGGGACAAGTTTTTGCTATAGGCAGTCGGATGCTCCCGTGTTAGTGATGTCACATGCCACAAGAGCGCCTAAACTTTACAAACGCGGCTGACTTGCAGGCCTGTAAATTTCTCTTCCTTAACCAACATGACCACGCGACTCTGTCCCATCACGACGCGACAACAGTGTCGGAAAAGCGAATGTCCGCAGCCACCGCCATGATCTGAATAGCTGAGCAATCTCTAGACTCATTAAGGCGATACTGGCCCGCTCGCCTTCAAACGCACGCACAATGGAAACCGAAGCCGATAATCCGCAGGCCTCGAAATCGCTAGCTGCGCGGGACCTGATGTCAGATGCCAACAGCGACGCGAGCAGCAGCGACTCCGAGAGCGGGTCGAGCGGATCGCACTCGCCGCAGGTAGAATGGCTGGCCACGGGGCGGTCGAAGCGGTCAACTGCCGGCAACCGCATGAAGTCGATGCTGGCCAACGAAGGCCCGGCCGACGAAGACTCGGACCTAGAGCTCCTGTTCCAAGAAGATGCAGACGACGCGGGCTTCACGGATAAGGAAGACGGCGATGGTTCAGACGCGCAGATGGACTCATCAGACGATGATGACGAGAACGAGGCCAACGGAGACGATATGGAGGGCGAGAAGGAGCTCGAGCGCCAGGCCAGGGAGAAGAAGGCGGCTGCGCGCAAACGCAAGGCACAGGAGGCCATCCCCGCCAAGTTCAGGAAGAAGGTCCGCATCAGCCAGCCGCCCGATACCCCGACCGGAAGCACGGTGCCTCCGCCCCAGCCCAGGCCAAAGAAGAAGTCGGAGCGGACGAGCTGGCTGCCGACGGAGGCTGACAAGCCTACTCGAGCGTCGGAGCGGAAGACTACGCGGCTGAGTAAAGAGCAGCTACATCAACAGATGATTGAGCGCGAGGCGAGGCGCAAGAAGCAGGTGGAGGCGATGGAGAGGAAGGCGAAGAAGCTGGAGGCTATGAAGAAGCCGCCTATGACGCAAGCTGAGAGGCTACAGGAGGCTGCTATCGTGGAGAAGAGGAACTCCAAGAGTCTCAACCGATGGGAGGAGGCCGAGAAGCAGCGTGAGGAAGAGAGACGCGCCAAGCTGGCGGCACTGCATGAACGACGGCTCGAAGGACCTGTGGTTACGTTCTGGACTGGTATTATCGACTTGAGCGAGGTCCAACTGAAGCATGTTGGAAAAATGGTGTCGATGGAGGAGAAGCCGAAGAGGAAGAGACCCTCGACCGCTGTCAGCGCTGCCGCCACCGCCGCTCCATCGACGACAGAGGGAGGTGTAGGGCCGTCCACTGTGACCACGACGGCCACGGCGAGCCCCAAGACAGAGGTTGGCCCGTCGGGCACTGCTTCAGAAGCGCCCGCAGCGCAGAACGCTCCCGACTCGGTCTCAGTACCAGAGGCCCCAAGAGAGCCAGAAGCGCCCAAAGCAGAATCTACCCCTGCAATTCCCATGGAGGCCATACCGTCACGACCTGAGGTGGCCACTATTTCATCTCCGGCGTCTGCGCCTCCAGTCTCTTCTCCACTAGCTTCTGTTCCTCCAACCCCTGCGCCTCCAGTCTGTGCTCCACCAGCTGCTACAGTTTCTCCGGCCTCTGCACCTTCAATGCCCCCTCCTATAGCCGCTACTGCTCCGGTCTCTGTTCCTCTGGCCTCTGCTCCGGCTCCGGTCTTTGCTCTTCCGGTCTCTGCACCTCAGGCCTCTGCACCTCAGGCCTCTGCACCTCACGTCCCTTCGCCTAGAGCAACTACGCAGCCACCCAACCTGCCTCAACCAGTGCCTCTGGCATCTCGACCAATGTCTCCAGCAGTTGTGACTAGACCAAGCACCGCGACCCCTACCCCTACAGCTACGCCTACGCCCATGTCAGTGCGGACGGCTTCTGGGAGTCCGACCCCAGCGACCTCATTGCCAACCGTCAAGACAGAAACGCAGGCCTCCAAGACACTCCCGTTAGCATTGAGACCTGATATAGGGCCACGTTTCATGCCACCACCGAATCCCCACCTTATGCAGGCAGCACAAACCAACGTACTCGCTCCTCCTGCCGGGATGCCCAATGCTCTTAATGGATCGATGCCAGTACTTGGTTACGCAGCTACACCTGTTCCTCGAGCCACTAGCTTTGCTGTATCCAGTCCCCCAATTGCACCCACTACGCCCAGCGCATCTAGTGTGTCACCTGCGGCGCCCTCCCCCCCTATTCATCCGTCTACTCAGCCACCTCCAATACACACGTCAACAGCAATTCCGACCCCAAACCCAACCGCAGCCACAAGCGCAGCCTCCTACAACCCTTTCCAAGCACCAAATCATCAACCATCGCCAATACACACAACTGCAATCTTCCAGCCTATAACTTCTCCGACCACACCTCCGGTCAAGACGACCAAAAAGCAACAGACGAATCAAGCAGTTCCTAAAAAGGCTTCTGCCAAATCTGCGGCTTCTCGGAAGCCTCCTCCACCACCGGAGCCACCGGAGCCTGAACCCCCTATGGAAGGCAAAGTGACTCGCAGCTGCATCATCCTTCAGGACTTCGATGAGGATGCGGTCAAGAAACCGGAAGTACAGACGCAGATACTTTTTGGGCGGAAGATGAGCAAGCTGGGTAGTAAGTTAGGGATCCTATCTTGTCTACCTCGCCCCATAGCTAACTCAGATCGCAGAACCGCCTCATCCGCCACTCTGCGTGATCACTAATCATCCAGCTCGCTACAGAGACCCCGTGACAGGACTGCCTTACTACAACGTCTATGCCTTCAAGGAAATCCAGAAGCTCATCAAGGGCGAGTTCAAATGGAGCCAGGCGCTGGGTACATGGGTTGGCAACGGATCTGATGCTGCCAAGGGTGTACCGATCAGGTTCACCCGTCCGGAAACAGAAGAGGAACGCAAGGAGAGGCTTGAGATTCAAGAGCGCGAGAAGAAGATGGCAGAAGAAGAGAAAGAAAAGAGGGCTGCCGAGGCTTCTGAGGTCAAAAAAGAACCTGACAAGCAGGGAGAAGCATCTGCTACAGTTCCTGGTCCAGCTACAACGCCCGGCGTGGTCACGGCTCCGTCTCTTGCTACCGCACCCGCCACAGTCCCTCCTACGATTTCAGCACCTCCGTTCACTACCCCGATGATGCCACCGGCTGTGCCAGCAGGAGCACAGGCAATCATGCCATCTCCAGAGGAGGCCAAACCCATGTTGCCGAGTCTAGCTTCCCCAAATGTTCTTTCCGCGGGTCCAGCTTCAGCCCCAGCTTCAGCCCCAGCTCCAGCAGCAGCAGGCATACAAGAAATGGGGTCAGAAGCGAATTCAGCTCAACTTGCATCGGGAGAGAAACCTGCTCAGACATTACTAGCACCAGACTTGGCCCAAACTGTGTCAGCAGAGAACTCTGCATAGACTACATCAGCACGTTTAGGCTAAGACAGAAGCTGGGCCCATCATATCCCTACAGATATAAAATAAATCATGCACACTTCAAATATGACCCTCTCGTGATTCTCTTGCGGACCTGAACGTGCTTGTAACTCACATGCCATCCTGTCAAGATATTTCCTCAGATATTGGCACGGCATGGCAGGCATTCATTCATGTAGGCATTGATCAAATCTGTCTTACTGTAGACCAAAGAACTTCACTATGTAAGCACCGGTTAGTAGGAATGTGCCCTTCCATGTGGGGCAGCCTACCCTGGTCCCTGCAAGCAGCCCAGGCAGTGCACAGACTCTGGTCATTAACGCGTGCTGCTATTCAGTAGCACCCCAAGCTCTAGCAAGCGCGTCAACGCTGCAACAAAATCTCCTGCGCACTTCTTCCTCCCCAGCCTTTTCACCTTTGCTTTCGCACAATCGTTCCTCGAAACTCTCCATCACTGCAGCGACCCTGTCCATCCAGCCCCCATCGTCTAGCATTTGAAAATGGAGAGCTTCGAGAACATCTACTTGGACCTATCTAAGGACCATGGCAAATGCCGATTTTCTGAGGCTGGTGTGGGCTGGAAGCCTACCAGTGGTGGCGAGGCAGTCACACTGGAGGCAAGCGACATTGTTGGCGCGCAGTGGAGTCGAGCTGCCAAGGGGTATGAGGTCAAGATCCTGCAGCGAAGCTCAGACATTCTACAGCTTGATGGATTCCAAGAGGAGGTGCGCGATGCCGATTGACCCCGCGCGGCGTTCATTGCTTAGGTTTAACTGACGGGCGCAACAGGACCACGAAAGGCTCACGCGCGTTTTCAAAAACTGGTACGGTCACGTCTTAGAGAACAAGGACCATTCGATGCGAGGATGGAACTGGGGCAAGGCAGAGTTTACGAAAGGCGAGCTCACCTTCAACGTTCAAAACCGACCTTCCTTTGAGGTGCCGTACTCCGAGATCAGCAACACCAACCTTGCCGGGCGAAACGAAATCTCGATAGAGTTTGCCTCTCAGGACGGCGAAAAGGCCAATGCCGACAAGGGTCGCAAGGCTGCTGCCGCCATGGACCAGCTCGTGGAGATGCGACTCTATATCCCTGGCACGACCACCAAGAAAGAGGCCGAGGGCGAGGATGCCGCGAGCGATGCAGACGAGGAGGAAATACAAGCCGCCCATCTATTCTATCAGACACTGATGGACAAGGCCGATATTGGAGATACTGCAGGCGACACCGTGGCTACCTTCCAAGATGTTCTGCACCTCACTCCCAGAGGCCGTTTCGACATCGACATGTACCTCACCTCTTTCCGACTGCGCGGCAAGACATACGACTACAAGATCCAGTATGAGGCTGTCAAGAAGTTTATGGTCCTTCCCAAGCCAGATGACGTGCATTTCCTGCTCTGTATCGGTCTCGATCCCCCCTTGCGACAAGGTCAGACCCGATACCCCTTTGTGGTCATGCAGTTTAAGAGGGACGACGAGAGCACCATCGACTTGAACATGAGCGAGGAAACCCGCAAGGAGAAATACGATGGCAAGTTAGAGGCACACTACGAGGAGCCCATGCACCAGGTGGTGACAAAGATCTTCCGAGGTCTTTCCAACAAAAAGGTGTCCGTTCCGGCCAAAGATTTTGAGACGTAAGTATTCCTCAAGGGCTCATCACAGCATCAGTACTTCTCAGCTAACATGCAACAGGCACCGTCAGCAACAGGCAATCAAGTGTTCGATCAAGGCCAGCGAAGGCTTCTTGTACCTCCTGGAGAAGGCGTTCATGTTTGTGCCCAAGCCTGCCACCTACATATCGTACGAGCAGACACAATCTGTCACCTTCTCCCGTGTCAGCGGAGCTGTCTCTGCGCTGTCGACATTCGACATCACTGTGCAGATGAAGGGTTCCACCTCAAACCAGTTCAGCAACATCAGCCGAGACGACCTGAAGTCCTTGGAGATATTCTTCAAGCTCAAGGGTCTCCGCGTTAAGAACGAGATCGACGAGGACGACAAACTGCTGAAGCAGGCGCTGCGTGAGCAGGCACTCAGCTCGGACGAGGAGATGGCGCCCGCGGCCGATCGTGGCTCTGCAGATGAGGACGAGGAGAGTGTTGATGAGGACTTCCGGACTGAATCGGAGAGCGACGTCGCAGAGGAGTACGATTCTGCCCACGAGAGTGATGGTTCTGGAAGTGGTTCCTCAGATGCTGAGAGCGGCGTCGACAACGACGCCGTGGACGACGACGAGGAGCACGAGGACTCGCCGCCAAAGAAGAAGAAGAAGTCGTCTTCATGATGAAAGCAACTAGGAAAAGTATCTCTCTTCGTCAGACGATGGAGAGAATAACATCGTGTAGAATTATGAGGGACTCGGAGGATGGAATGTGCAAAATTGGGCAGGCGTTAGGTCCGGGAGTAATGAGGGCGCCATAACAGGCTTACTGCGGTGCGACATCATCATAGTCTCGAAAATCAGACTCAAGTGATCTTTAATGCACACCTCCTGCTCTAGCTATGACATGGCCAAAATTGTAATTTGACTGCCTGAAATCCATCACTGTAGCCGTCCTTCCCCCCTCCCCCCCCTTTTCCCGACTTTTCTTCGCAACTCGTGTTGTTTCGATCCGGGGGTTGTCCGTTCTCTCAGCTATCTTGATACGGTACACAAGAATCCATCAGAACAATCGATGATGACCTTCGCAGATGCATAGTAACTCCAAACATTTGTTATGCCTCGTGGAACAAGGAAAGTGAAAACAATATTACAAGAAGAGGAGAAGAGAGAAAGAAGTCAGCAGGCTTACTACATTAATGATGAGATCGATGAGCTCAATCCAAATAAAGGAAAGAAAGCAGCTGTAAAGAAGCCAGAAAGCAAGCAAGGGCATTCTAAGGTTTGCTGCAGGGTTGCTAATGTGTAAGAGCTTGCATTGACAGCTTCTCCAGGGCTGGTTGTCGATGTCAGCATGTGGGGACAGGGCCAAAAAAGTGCCCCACCATAAGAAAGGCAACCACTAACTTGCATGTTTTGGGCACTGATGAGAAAGTACCAGTCCCGGCCAAAAGCGCTCGGCTGCCTTTTTCCAACTACAGCGACATCATTCTCCCAAGCCACATGCTGTCTCAACTCTTAACCTGAACCACCTCCACATCACCTCGGTCAGCTTGGCTTCTCTGTGCTGCATTGCTTAGGCCAGCCCATACTCGCAAACCTTGACTGCTTAGCTGTTCTGCCTGCACAAGTACAAGAATGAGCACGCGGTGACTCTTTTGCTGCCCCGCCTCGAAATCCACCAGCGATACGATGCTGCATGCTTGCCCAAACCCAAGCCCAATCATCACCACCACCCACGCATGATAGCAGTCTCCGAGCCACAGGCGCGCACACACCGAATAAAGCTATCCCCCGGGGACGTGACTCCTTTACGGAGCTTCCGTCAGAATGGAGAGTCAGGTATGGCTGGTCGAGTATTTATTTTCCCACGGCAGATCTGGGTTCGCCCAGCTGCCCGACCCTTCCTGCCCTTCGTAGTACAAAACAGCCCTCCAGAGACCGAGGCTAACCTGCAGCTGTCTATGCACAGATTGAAAATGCTATTGAGATAGCGTGGAACCCTCATTCGGACAACAGTCTCAAGCAACAAGCCTTCCAGTTCCTCGCCAACCTCCGGACAGATCCACAAGGATGGCAGTCCTGCGTTGCGATCTTTATTCGGGACCCTCCACCAATGGAGGTTGTCCGTGTCGTCTGCTTGGAGGTTATCAATAATGCTATCATGATCGAGAACGATGCGAACAACCTGGCCGCGCTGAAGGATACCTTCCTCGACTATGTCAGGCGGAGCTATGCCACCACGCCCGAGCAGCTCGACTCGCCCACTCTCCAGAATAAGCTCACGCAGACCCTGACCTTCCTTTTCGTACGGCTGTACAAGCAAGGGTGGGAATCGTTCCTGGACGACTTCCTGTCCATGACAAGTCTGCCCGGAAGTGAGAGGAGGGACAACACCGTCGGTTGTGTGCTGTACCTGCGTATACTGCTCTCTGTTCACGATGAGATCGCGGACCAGCTCCTCTCCCGCCAGCCAGATGAGGCCAACCGCAACGTCGATCTCAAGGATCTTGTGAGGGAGCGAGACATGCAAAAGGTGGTGCATTCATGGCAGGAGATCCTTGCTCAATACCAGGACCGGGACGACAAGATCATTGAGATGACGCTGAAGGTATTGGGCAAGTGGGTGCAGTGGATCGATATCACCCTGGTCATCCAGCAGGACATGATCAACCTCCTGCTCCCCCTGATTGGACGTACGGATAAGGGCGACACCGACAAGGTGAGGGATGCTGCTGTGGAAGCCTACACCGAGATCACCGCCAAGAAGATGAAGCCCAGCGACAAGATGGAACTCATTGCTTTCCTCGGTCTAAAGCAGATCGTGTCGGAGCTCGTGAACAGTCCACCTCTGAACCAATACAGGGGCACCGCGAAATATGATACCGACCTGGCGGAGGCTGTGGCAAAGATGGTGAATGTGGTCATGACCGACGTGGTTAAGGTTCTAGAGACGTTCAATCCCGACTCTACCCCTAAAGCCGAGCAGCACCTGCTGGATTTCCTCCCGCTTCTCCTTCGGTTTTTCTCCGATGAGTTTGACGAGGTCTGCTCCTCTGTTATCCCATCACTCACGGACGTTCTTACCCTCTTCCGGAAGATGAACCCACTCCCGCCTCAATATGGAGAGATGCTTCCAAGTATCCTGAATGCAATCATCCTCAAGCTGAGGTACGATGAGACTGCGTCCTGGGGTAATGAGGACGAGCAGACGGACGAGGCCGAATTTCAAGAACTGCGGAAGCGGCTTCAGAACCTACAGAAGAGCGTGGCTGCAGTCGACCAAAACCTTTACCTGGAAACATTAAGCAATCTTGTGGCAAACACTTTCCAGACGCTCGATCAGAGAGGCTCACAGATGGACTGGCGAGACCTGGACTTGGCGCTATATGAAATGTACCTCTTCGGCGAGCTTGCTCTGCCCAATCAAGGGTTGGCTGGCAAGTCTCAGCCTTCTACGGCTGCAGCTGAGAGACTGGTACTCATCATGTCGAAGATGGTTGAATCAGGTAAGCTGAAAGAGAGGACAGAGAAACCCAACCCCCGCCCGGGGAAAAAAGGGGGAGTAGGGGGATTAGCATTTTGGTCACCATGGTACTAATTATTGTGAACAGATATCTCCAACTTCCCTCATCCTGCAATTTTGTTGCAGTACATGGAGATCTGTGTTCGATATGCTGCCTTCTTCGAAAGTCGCCAGGAGTACATACCACGTGTGCTCGAAAACTTTGTGCGACTCGTGCATCATGATCACATGCGGGTCCGCGTCCGATCTTGGTACTTGTTTTACCGTCTCGTGAAACAACTACGAGCCCAGGTCTCAGAAATGACTGGAACTGTCATACAATCCGTTGCCGATCTTTTGGCCATCAAGGCGGAAGTTTCGGGCGACGAAGCCGACGACGACATGTCTTCCGACGAATCTGACCACTCAGCGGACGCCGTGTTCACGAATCAACTCTACCTTTTCGAGACCATCGGCTGCATCTCTTCGACGGGCGCTACGCCTATTGAGAAGCAAGTCATTTTTGCTCGCACGGTCATGGAACCATTGTTCACGGACATGCAGAATACACTGCCGCGAGCAAAGGCCGGTGATGCCCAAGCCATTCTGCAAGCCCACCACATTGTCACAGCCCTTGGGTATTTTGCTCATGGATTTTCTGACTCCCCCACGGGCAACAATCTCAGCAAGCAACCTCCCCCAGCCAAGGAGATCTCCGAGGTCTTTTCGCATGTTGCTGAGGCAGTTCTAGTCGCTCTGAAGGAGCTGAACTCCAACAGCGAAATTCGTACCGCATGCAGATCCGCTTTCTCTCGACTTCTCGGTGTGCTCGGTTCCACCGTCCTCCCGCAGTTGCCGCAATGGATTGAAGGCCTGCTTTCTCAAAGCTCATCGAACGACGAGATGGCCATGTTCCTCCGACTACTCGAACAGGTGGTGTTTGGATTCAAGGCAGAGATTTACGAGATCCTCAACCTACTCCTGACACCACTCCTGCAGCGCATATTTGAGGGCCTGTCGCAACCTGTTACGGGCACCGATGACGATATCCAGCTTGGTGAGCTGAGGAGGGAATACCTACATTTCATACAGATCATTCTGGCAAACGACCTTGGGGGTGTCTTAGTCAGCGAAACAAACCAGGGGTACTTTGAGTCTGTTATCTCTTCAATCATCACACTAGCCAGGACCATTTCTCACGGCAATATGTCTACGAGCCGATCAGCTTTTGGCCTGCTGCAACGCATGACCGCTGTCTGGGGTGGCCCTGACGTTGCTACCATCTCGAGCAACCCCAGCCCTCCGTCCGGCTCACCATCGCCTCTCATCCCTGGCTTTGATCAATTCATCATGGACCGGTTCCACCCTCTCTGCTGGGAGGTTCTACGAGATCCGCAATTCAACCCCTCTGATGCTCAGACCAGACAGGTTGTGAACGAGATCGCGCAGCTTGAGCAGACCATCTACACCAAGACCGGCGAGGTCTTCATCCACAACCTACAGTCCACGTTATTCCCCTCCCTCGGTATCGATGGCGCCGAGTTCTTGCAGACCATGTCCACTGACAGGAAGGCCTTCTTAAATTATCTTACACGGCTTAGTGGCAGTAAGTGATTTACAGTCAACAGTCAGGCATGCGTGGAGAGGCCGTGGGGCAGAAGGAGGCGTGGGTAGAGGAGAGCTTTGGCTTGCACAAGTACTGTGCTAGCAAGCAAGGGGGGCCAAGCACAAGTAAGACTAGGGACTGAGAGGTTGGCCCTTTTAGTACTTGAACGAGTTGGGCAGGGCCAAGCATTACAGGATACCATGCTTTCACAATCATCAATCATCCGTGGGGGTTTCAAGTTGAAGAGCCACAAGGCCAGGGTTCGGGATGGATATGGTTTTAAATAGAAAGAAAAAAAGATTCCCCCTCAAAAATCAAATACTTTCCTAGCGTGTTAATTTTCCGCTGCACAAGACTGTTCTCGTTGCAATTATTATCTCTTGTGGTTCTTGAAATTCGCTCGCTGCAGACATCAGACGTGCCTCAGTCATCTTTTGTATTGTATTTCGGTAGACAAGACATAGATCTCCCTTTAGCATTCAGCGTCTAGATATATCTTGTCCGTGTTCTCAAAAAACCTTCCTTCGTCTTTGCAATCCATTGGAAGTTTGACAGAGAAACAATCAGGACGAATTAGTAGCTAGAGGGCGGGCGTGGTAGATCTTTCAGGATAAGCACATTACCATCTCCCGATTGTCCAATGTGGACAGCCGGGCTTTGCCAAATATGGACTTTCACTTGATGACCGGACATAGCATTTGACTAACAGGCGAGAGAGCCTGGCGATGGTGTTGAGCTCACAGGATCCTCTCACAAAAGCATGCGAGGCCATCGAGACTAGGACCATGTACACTGGAGGAAAGTCGGCTGATAAAGAGTCCTGCTTTGGTACTAGGACCTTTATGCAGATATATGCTATATGGAATAACATTGTCGCTGGTGCCACCAGATGTGCAGATGGTAGATAGAATACTGATGCGCAAACGCAGCTTGCATATCAACAAATGACCGGGCCTCTCAATTTCTCCAGGCTCGTCTCTGCAGGCCTGACCCAACTTAGTCCACCAAGATTTTTGACTCCAGATCCGCGTAGTTGGACAAGAAAGCCTCAAATAGCTTGATGCCATGCTCAACATCGTACGAGCCACCCGTCTCACGGATAGAATGCATGCCTAAAAACCAGCAAGTGTCAGTAATTATTTCCCTCGAGAGCTATGATTACTTGGATATGGTCATGAAAGATGCCTAAGCAGCAGATGGCAAAAAATGGTTCTTTTTGAAGTCTGCTCCCACGAGATCGAACAGGACATAGGTATGGCAGAATCACAGATTAAACCTACTGAGCTGCGGGTTTCCAACGTCGATCGTGCGTACACCCATTTTTGCGGACAGCATTGGCCCAATGGTGCTGCCGCAAGCCGAGTCGTTGCGGACGACAAACAGTTGCAGCGGCACGCCGGCCTTCTTTGCGACTTCTTGCAAGAGGACGATACCAGGGGAGTTGGTGGCGTAGCGCTGGTTTGCGTTGACTAAATACAAACAAACCAACCAGTCAGTCATGTTCAATAGTCGAAGCAGAAAGAGTAAAAAAAAGCACTGGGAGGGAAAGGGAGGGGGGAAGGGCAAACGTACTCTTTATGACAATCCCCTTATTCATCTCAGGCTGGTGGTTCGATTCGTATTTCTGCTGATAGTTGGGGTTGACGCTATGCGCCATGTCCGCAGACACGAAGAATGACGTTGACAGAGTCTGCTCGAACGCGGTGGCAATGTCATCGGAATGTACATGCTCGTACGACTTTTCAGAAGCTGGGGCCTCATGGAAACGACCCGCTGGCAGGACCGACAGGCGGCGGAGGACGGCCGGCAGCATGTTGGAGTTGGCACCTTGCGCTGTGAGGGAACCGATCTCCTCGTGGTCGAAACACGCAATCAGGCGGATGCTGGACTCATCGTCTAGGCTCTTCTCATCTTGGACGGACGCGATCAGGCCCATGACGCTGCAATAGGTCATGCCGAGGTTGTCCAGGCGCGGCGAGAAGATGAACTCGTCGTTGAGGCCACCGAGGCACGACTTCTGCGTGTCGTAGAGGACCAGCTCGAAGTCGACGATGGCATCGGCATCGACGCCGGCGTGCTGTGCAATGACGTCCAGCAGGTACGGGTGGTGTCGTTGTGTCATGGCCTTAAGGGGTTGGAACTCAGCATCCTCGCCCTCAGCCTCGGCGGATTCGTCGCCGTCCTTCTTGGCATCCGCAGGGGGCTTGCCGGACCGGTTGAGCTCCGCCTCGGCGAGGCCACAGATGGGGAACAGCTCGGTCTCCTTGTTGGGGTCAAAGTTGCTCTGCCTGTGAAGATGGATGGCCAGGGTAGGGATGCGCAGGATGGGCTTGTCAACCTTGATAAGCTTCTGCACAAAGTTGCCCTGGGCGTCCTTGACCAGCACACGGCCGGCAGTGGAGAGGTCACGGTCGAACCAGGTGTGCCAGATGCCACCGCCGTAGGTCTCGACGCCAACCTGAAGGAAGCCGGCGTTGGTCTTCTTGCTCACGGGCTTGATGCGCAGGCAGGGCGAGTCGGTGTGCGCCCCGACCATGCCGATGGGGTTGCCAGGTGCCCATTTCTTGCCGACGGCGAAGGCCACGATGGACGAGGCGTTGCGGGTCAGGTAGTACTGGACTGTTCGTCAGTCGAATTGCCGGTCAATGCGCCCACCCACTGATTAGATCAATTGAATCGAGGTGAAGAACCGGGGGGGGAGGGGGGAACAAGCAAACCTTGCCACCGGGGAGTAGCTCCGAGCCCCAATTGTCACGTTCTTTGATACCCTTGAAACCTGCAGTCTCGAGGCGGGCAGCAGCCTCGGCAACAGCATGGTAGGCTGTGAGGCGCGCATTAGCCACAGATGCATAGTCTTTAGGCAAAATCTCTGGGAGAGAGAGCGGAAGGAGGTGGGGGGGGGGGGGGAGAAGTACTCACGGGTAGGCGAGGCGTTCAAAAAATCAATGAACTCGTGAGCAGACTTGGGAGGAGCCATGATGATCTTCGAGGACGAGAAGGCTCGGCGGGGTTGGATGAAGAAGCTTAGAGAAGCTCTTGAAGCAGCGCAGGATGATCTTGTATATCGCAGGACGAGGCAAGTCTTGAGCATGAAGCGTGGAGGGAAGTGCACAAATAGATGAACGGCTCAATATCTTTCTTTGTCCAGAGGGAAGATTGATTGTGGTGAAGCTGCGTTGACCAAGGTACTTGATAGACGGCGATGTCACGGAAACTTCGTCCTAAGATCACACTGCATGTTGGCGGTTGTCCGATTTGATGGAGGAGATCCCGACTAGGCCTGGCCCCGCCCAGAGGAGGGCAGCCCTGTCGCCGCCTCGGAAGCGGACCGGCAGCAGGTGGGTTACTGGGAAGTGGCCTGGTCCACGTGTAAGTACCTGTCCATAATGACCACTATGATACAGTACTTCTTACACGTAGGTGCCATAACATGCCGTACCATGTACAACAACTGCTGGTAGCAGATGTGATCAACGGGCTCACAACTATTTCTCGTCTCTCTTTTCTGGGACATGAATTAATTTCCAGGACTGTTGGAATCAACATGGGAAATTTCAAAACTTTAAATCTACCTAGAGTAAAGAGAATCGAGCCTGGCCTACCCTGTACATAATAATATTATAGTAATGACTTGGGAGTTAGGCTTTCGAGGTCTAGCTTCAAGGCTGGCTGACTGACTGACTGTCCGCTGGGAGAGGGAGAGAAATACGACAGGGACAAAGGACACGAAGGAGAACAGGGGTTACTCAGTCATTGGGCCGTTTTTGGAGGAGGAGCATGAATGTTGCAGGCCTGATTCTGGGCTACATTCAGTATTAAATCGTATTGGGTACCAGGGTGCTAATATAGTAGCCAATAACTTCGCAAACATTTCTGTATTCTCTATCTCTCTGTCTGACTTGGCCTCGCCACACAAGGGGTAGTAGATTCAGATCGAGACAACAAAGAGATCCTTCAGCCTTATTGACGACTGCACCTTGCCACGATTCAGATCTCACCACAAAGGAGAATAAAAAATCCTGTCTCACACCGCAATGAGCTGAATGGATTGTGCCGAACATCAAACAACAAGTGAACGTCAGCTTACCCGTCTCCAGTTGTCTGGCTGGTGTCTGACCTGGTGCAGGCGACATGGCATTTCGCACCTGTGCAGGGGGGCAAAACGCCACCTCGCCATTACCATTACCATCATTCACATCGCATCAATCTCCTGCCCTTGAGAGAGAGAAGGGATGGGGGGATTCCGGGTTAGGCTCAGAACAAGCCTGCCACCTGCCACCTGCAGGGGGGGAGAGAGGGGAGGGGACGGTGGTATACGACGCACTCGTGCTTTGGTGTTGGTGTTGGTGCGGTGCTACTATTACAGTACTGTTCGCCGCAACGTAGATCTGGGGATGTTTGGGGATGCAACAAGACCGAACCAACCCTCTCAAAAAGGAAAGACACCTATTCCATGCCTGTAATGGTCCGCCCCCTCCCCCCTTCCCCCCATCCAGTTGGTGAGGCTGTCGACCTGAGCCAGCGGAAGCGCTCGGACCTACCGACCTGGCGCCCGCCGCAGCACGCAGCTGAGTCAAGAAGAGCATGGCACCAGGTAGGTGTGTGTGTGTGTGACATTCTGTGGGTAACCTGGCCCGATGTCTCTGCCCATTGCTTGTCGGTTCGGGTGTGGTCCATCCATGGCGGCCACTCAGAAAAGATTGAAGGGACCCAAGGCCAACATCGCTGTGTCGATCATCTGCTGCACGTTCGGCTCGACACGAGATCTGACCATGGAAAAAAGTAATACTCGAGGTCACGGAAATCCTTGGCCCCGTATGAAAAATGTGAGACAGAGAGAGAGAAGGGGGAAAAGAATATCTCCGGCCAATGAAGATGAGGAGCGGGTCGAGGAATACTGTTAATGACTCTCTAACACTCTCCACGATCCGAGGGTCAACATCAAGGTTAAATGACAGACAACATGGGGTTAGGGAAAACATGGTAATTCATCCTGTGTGGCGAGAAAAAGACCCTGTTTCCAGCTCTCCCATCTCGAGTGGAGTCTGCCAGGCTTAGCGGTTCGGCCCCATCTCAACGGTGCCCACTGCCAATCTGTTCTGTTGTTTCTCGAGAGACCACAGAAACCTGAGGAGACGGCGACCTGAGCACGGCTCACTGGCCCCGAGAGATTACGAAGAGAAACTGGCTGCTCTGCACTGCACTGCCCTGCCCTGTCTTCAGCCAGGTAATGCGTCCTCTTTGCGCTGTCTCGTCGTCATAGGCTGATTTGATGGATGGCAACTTCCTTGGACAAGGTCGCTCAGCGGCGAGGGGGAGAATTCAGAGTCTGGCCAGCCCTGCGCAGGTACGCTTCCCGTGGCGCCCATCGATCGACAAGGGGACAACAGAAGAAAGAAGGGGGGGGGGGGGAGGGAAACAAATACCCAACAGGGCTTCTCATCTGTTGCGACCCTGCCAGATTCGTGGAAACGACTGCCAGCGCAACCCTGCTCTTAAGCTACCGACCCTGGATAATTTTGAGTTTACGACGATCACACATTATAGTTTGTGTCAGAGTGTGCCTTTGTGGACGGCCGGTGAATTGAAAAGCAGACAATTTGGCCTGTCTCTGTAACTCTCCACCATATATGGCTTTCCCACTACACCACCACCTTTACCTCTCAGACAACATAACCTGCTGCACGCCATTGTTCAAAATCTGCAGGATATGCTGCACTTCCCGCCCACATTGATTATTCCGGCTGCCAGCGGGCCGATCTCTGTGGAACAGGGGGAAAGGGGAGGGGGGGGGGAAGAGAATCTCATGTCGCAGATGGGACGTTCAGCCAAGGTCTGAAGGGGGGCTGTTGGTGCGTGTGCGTGTGTGTGTGCCACGCCAGAAGACGACGACAAACTCAGAATGAGAAAGAGAGCCTCTGGTCGGTATACCACTCTTTTTCCTTTGTTTCTTTTCACAACTTTACCTGCAGACCAGACCATCCAATAATTGACGCTGATCTTGATCATCAGGGGCGAATCAGCGTTCAGCTGTTGCCAAGTGTGTCTGGACTGGCTAGAAACATTGTCAGGCTGGGCGTTGAATGGGCCCATCAAACAGGCCGCAAGGCAGCGTTGTGAAACGCAACACAGTATAATCAATCAACCCATTCCAACAAGATTTGTTTTCTTTGCGCAGTCACCGAGACAGACAAAGTGTACTCGACCCTTTTTGTGCTGTCCTGAACAAGCATGATGCTTTTTGACAACTAGGAAATGGCGCCCCAGGAATCGCCACCACCCATGACAGCAGGACTTCCACATCTGCCGCCTGATGCGTCGTCGTCCATGCAAAGATTGGGGGGGGGGGTTGGAGGGGAGGGTGGGAGGACCTTGTGCGTTGTGGAGCGTCGGGAAATGTTGCATGCAACACCGAACGACTCCCGATCAGGTACGTACGATGCGCCGGCGCAGCCCCCCCGCCCTTCTTCTCACTGCTGCTGGCCTCCTTCTCCTTTTGAGAAAGGTAGAGATGGGAGGAAATTTGGGGGGGGGGGTTGGCATGAAACGCATGCATAATAAGTACTACACGTTCAAATTTCTCGACTTGTTCAAGCGACAAGTCGAACCTGCACAGCCGACGATGGGCCAGGCCAGTGAGGACAATACACCCACCCAAAAACGCCCACCAACCCCCTCCACCCTATCTGCCTCCTCGCCTAGAGACGTACAGATTAGTTCTCTCGAGGGAAGCAAAGAAGACTGACTATTGAGAGGGTCCTGCGCGGCCACGCCTGCATAGTTTACAACACTGGGCGTGTCGACATTGATTTGCCGTCTGTTGCGCGACGGACCGCACCCTGATCCGGTCTAGCCTGGGTTTGGGAGGGGGGACCGGTTCAGATAGATCCAAGCCATCCCTGGGATCCCAAGCATTTCGTGTCGGGCTGGATTGAGGATGACGGCCCTGCTGACTGACCCACCAGCAATGCGTTGGGAAAACGAAGCGGATAGGACCCTCTTCTTTCCTGTACCGCAACAACAAGCTGATCTTGCCGTCCTCTACAGACTAAAACTTACTATGACCCTCTTGCTCCTCTTGAAAGCTGATGACGAGTAAAGCCCTGCGAGTTCTACGGCATACTTACCATAGTGTGTACTATATATGTCATAATAGCACTACCTGGACAAGCACGGGTGTGGTTGAAGAGGGATTAGCCCTGTTCCCTGATCATCGCATCGCCGTTGGGGCCCAGACCGCGATAGCACCTGGGACGATTGAGGCCTGGTGTGCTGGACCAGCAAAAAGCGAAGATCGTTTCTCGGAGCTGTACCCGGTACCTGAGGTCCCAGGCTCGTTACATAGTACTTTACAAAAAAGGAAGGGAGGGGGGGGGTGGGAATCAGCTTACCTTTGCGTGCGTTAAGTATCTGACTGTAGCTGAAGCGTGGCAGATAAGGAACCATCTCCAACATCGTGCACAATTCATAAACAAATTAGACCTGGGAAAGAAAAGAGAAGAGAGAAAATTCCTCGACGACGAACATGATGATGCGACAGAGTATGTGCCTTGACGACACAAAACATGCTGTGCGTTGCGTTGCGTTGCGTGCGTGCGTGCGTGCGTGCGTGCGCGCCGCTTTGTGGGTGGGTGGGTTTGGTGGGTGTGTTTGGGTGGGTGTGCCCTTGGCAAGAGAGGTAAGGGACTTTGTCTTGGAAATTTCCCAGCAAGAGGAGAGACCCTTGTGAATTGCGCAAGACGATCCCCACTGCTAGAGGAGACTTTGACAGGTCCTGTCGCCCCCCCTCGTCCACCCAGACAACCGCCTTGCTAAGAACAATAAGGTTCCCATGCCGATCAACGCGGAGGCATCTGTCATTTCATTCTCCCTGTCCTCTCTCCCTCCCTCTCCCCTCTCCCTTTCTCTTCCCTCTTTCCTCAATTTCCGTGTGTGTTATTGACTTGTTGTCTTGTTCTAGGGCTGGTCCTGGCTGAGCAGTCAAGTGACGGATCGACCTAGCTTGGGCCTCTGGACACGGCCACCCGCTGCTTTGTTTCTTCTTCTTCTGCTTGCTGCTTCTCGGCCTGCCCCTCTTCCGACCAAGGTGATTCACTCATCGTCGACTTTCTGCAGCGTGGGTCGCTGCCCGCGGTGGCACTAGGGGTTGCTTGATTGATATTTATCGCTCGGGAGGAAAAAAGAGACAGGTCCCCAAGGCATCACCCCTGGCAGCACAATCGCGATTGGGGGATCCCGCCCTGCTACCCCGGTCGGCCAGACAAGCTTCGACCGTATGGGGATTAGTTAATTTTCCTTGAAGCAGGGATATCCCAACTCTGAAGGGTCTGGGGGTGCTCTGGATCAGGGACAGCCGGAGAGGATGGCGACAAGGATGTGTTGTGAGTGTGTGTGTGTGTGTGTGTGTTTGTGGTATGGTGTTGCGTGAGTGCGTGTGCCTGCGTGCAAGTGTTCAGACAAGCAAGGCAGGATTGGGGATTTGCACGCCCGCCCATCTAGAGGAGGGACAGCAGCAGCCAGCCTTAGCCTTGGCGTAGGAAGGCTATGCATACACACAAACACACACACACACACACACACACACAACACTTGGTCTCACTATGACACAGCACGGTGCTGCTCGTCTTGTTCCCCGAGTGGATGTGCTTGCTGGCAGGTATTCTGGTGGGCACACGAAACGCTGAGGGGTTAACTGGACTTGCGCGCATCTCTGCTCAATTGGAACTCGACGTGCTGCTGTGCGATTAAACAACCCCCCTCCTCCCCCCTGGCGGTACATTATAGTTGATGGCCCACCTCATTCCATCGCTCATGTTACCATAGTAGCCACTGACATCCCAGGACATGAGTGGGGGATGGAGACGAGATTCGAGGGTACTGAGGGCAAAACTGTCTTGTTGTCATGTGCCTGTCTGAACTTGCTCATTTGTCGTCCGTGCCATGGCTGATCGTGTGTAGACTTGAGTTTGCGAGTAAGTACTGAGATTCATGTATGTAAAGTGTTGAGGCGAAGGAAGAAGAAGATATAATGATCACCTCTCACCAAGCAGCAAGCAAGATTCTCGTCTATTGCCCAACTCGAATGTGACTGCGGGCTTCGTTTTCCCGACCATTGCTCGTCTGGTGTGCCCGAGCTGGCAGTTTAGTTTCTCGGGGCTTTCACGCCTATCAAGTGAAGAGAGCCAGCCGCTTGACCAAAGACGGTGGTGGGTCGCCTTGCTGGGAAGTCTATCCCATCACATCGACTGACCTCCCTGGTCGACCTTTCTATTAAACTCTGCCTCTCTCTGTGCGACGCTCGGTAAGCATAGCCTCGCAGGAAGTAAAGGAGAAAGAAAAGAAGAGGAAAAAAGAATACAGTGATCTCATGATACGAGACCTACAGCCTCAATTGCGTGTGCAGAAAATTGAGGATCTTGGCGAGACCTGCCATACTTTGTACGGCAAGTCGAGATCGTCGCGCCGGTCCCTGACCCACAACCCCTGCCTCTGCATGGAATCGACACCAGCCGGCAGAAAAATGAAACGCTCGTCAGGTAAGCGCTGAAGCGACGCATCTCTTTCTTAGACGCCATCCAGTCGAGGACCCTTTGTCCCTTTCAGCAAAACCCCCTCCCCGCCCAGGACAATGCTGAAATGTCTGAAATTTTACCATGGGAACACTTTCCCCCTGTCGTCTGCCTTCTGTTTTTCTCTTCTTTCTTTTTGTTTTCTTTTTTGTTCTCAATGACAGCCTTGAGAGGGACACCCTGCAGATTTGTTGAAGATGATCCCTGACCCGCTTGCTTGCTGCACTGCACTGCATGTCTCTCCTGAAGGGGAATGCACTTAACTACTACCACCAAGACCACGAACAGGCACAGACAGATCTCTTCCCCATCTCACTCAAAAATGGACCAAGAAAAATAGAGGACCCTGCCACTCCCGCACTCCCGCAAAAAGGAAGCGGGAAAGGTCTGGTGCTAGCACTAAATCCACAAATGCTCATGGGTCCACAGGGTGAGCATTTGCGCATCACCTGCCTCACCGTCTGATGCTTCCAAGGGCCTCGCTGCTCAGAAGACCAGAAAGAGGGCAGCGAAAGGAGACGAGAGCTTTTACGTCGGGCGCAGAGACAAGAACAAGTCATGGGGCAGCCCAAAGCAAGTCGCACCTGGGCAGGCACCCCTGTCGCCCTGCACCAGGTGTACATGGACTCTTGGACCCATCCTTAGACCCAGGCAAGAAAAGATACATGGGTGGTACTTCTGGTCATCTCGAGCGTTACCTCTTTATACTAACCCCCCTCTCTCTGCGCGGCGTCTGCGCCGCCTTGCCAGCTGTCTCTTCTTCGACAGCTTTCCCAAACGCCTAGCAGCGCTGAGGCTTCGGCTTCCTAGAGAAGAGAGCCGGGTCTGACCGACCATGTATTTGGGGTGTCTTCTTTTGCCAATCGAGGATGACTTGCATACCTAGGCAAACATACAGCATCAAGGTATTGGGCAGGTTTGGGCTTAGCTGAGAGAGCCGCGTACCTTTGTACCAGACCTGTCAGAGCCAGGTACATAGGACACGGCACTCATTGCGCTAGGTCAGTACACAGGCGAGGGGCACCCTGGTCGTTTCCGCCGCCTCTTCGTCTGCCTCTTCCCACTGTGGCTCGCTGCGCTCCGCTCCTCGATTCTCTTGACCCGCAACCGCCTTTTCCCTGCCTGCTTCTTCCCACCTCCTACCTCGACCTCGCAAGCGGTCAACCACCTCCCAACCCAACCCTCCTTGCTTGTTTTCCCTCCCTCCCTCCCGTCAACCTTTTCTCGCTCCCCACGACGAGACAGTCCGCTGCATTCTGTTGTAGTCGGAGAAAACAAAGCTCTCTCTCTCTCTCTCTCTTCTTTTTTCTTGTCCTCTTCTGTTCCGCCGTCGTATTACTGCCTCTTCCTTTTCTTGGGGGGTGTGGAAAGACTCGCCCGTCCGTGCTTGCTGCTCCGCTGCGACGATAACGCTTGGCCGGGACGAGACCAAATAGCCAGCCACGAACGATCAAGGCTATCTCTGCACCTTCGAACCTTTTTCCGACCCTGCACGATCTCTCATTTCCCGGCTGAAGACCCCATCACAGCCGTTGCGACATCCACCGTCAGAATCTTAGGAGGATCAGATATTCGTCACTGGGCGGGTGTGATATTTGTACACTCGAGACCCCGTCGACCCGGCGCAAACTGGCCTACCTCTGCCTTATCCACCGCAGGCGTTCAACGTCGTGACCCTTCACGAACGAAGCTATCTCGGAGATCCGATCGTGCCCTTCTCGAACCGGAACCCACGTCGCGCTGACGATTTTCCTATCCTCGAACCAACTCTGTACTCACTCGCTCTGTCAAGATACGCTGTATCACTTCCTTCCTAAGCCGTCAAAGGGCAGCAGGATACACCGCAGCTCTCTTTACTGTTCAGCAACCGGACCGCCTCGAGCCCCACCGAATCGACCCTGGGAATTGACCCCCTCATTTTGCTTGTCACTGGCAGAATTAGGCTGTGTCAAGCAGAAGCCTTGTTTTCGAAATCCACGTTGGAGAGAGAAACGAGCGCTTCAAAGAGCGCCTGTCATCTTTTGGGTGTTCGGAGAAATCGGCTGAAGAATATCCTGGATGTTCGTCTGGAAAGTTGGCTTGCTTCGTCATCGCTGGATACACCATTTATCTTCCAGCCTGCCTGTTCGAGGTTAAGATCTGGCCCGCCTGTTGCTCCAAGAGGCTACCGGTCCAAACCTGCCGTTCACTTGTCTTTTGTCGACTTGGACTCTCGTGCAAGGATCTTTGAGCCCTTGACTCTTCCATGCGACTCTGCTTGAGACATACTAGGCAGCCTACAGCCCGGTGACGGCCTTCTCATACTTGTCACTACCCCTCCGGCGACCTCACATCAACTCGGCCCTACTTCATGTCGATTGGTCGGCTCTTCGGGATATCATCTCTATTCTTCGGCGACGAACCTCTCCCTTCTTCAGCAGCGAGAGGCACTGCGCGCCTGCGCTCCGTTCGGACAGCCTGACCCTGCATTCGTCCGTATTCCTCCTGATCCTGGCCTTCCCCTCCCAATCCTCTGGCGGCCATGGCCGCACATTTGCAACAGATGGCCGCAGCTGGCCAATTCATGCCGCAACAGCAGCGAGCGATGGCAATGGGCGGCGGCGGTCCTGCACCGGATAGCAATATTCAACAATACATCTTCACTGCCATTCAGAGCAACACAATACAGATTCCTCATGGATGGCAAACCGGCCTCGGTATCGTGGAGCGCGTACGCAATGTACAACAAATGTGAGTTGCGATTTTCGGTCTTCTGATAGGCTTCTTATTTTATTCACTGAGATGGACTGGTCATGTGTTTTGAGTCACTGTATTTTCCTCCTGCTGTTATTTCAAATAATTGTTCCCATCCTGCTATATTGCTATTGGACCCCCCCCCCCCCCCGG